TTTTTTTTTTTTTTTTAAACAGTTGCAGTTTCTGTCCAAAAAATGAGCGGCTATTATTCATGAATCATGATCCATTAACCAAAAAAAGCAAACTTTCGTAGCCACAACTGCTTGCATGCAGCACAATCCGCAAACCCATTAATCCAAACCAATAATCCAAATACTAATCAAATCAGCTAAAAATATAAAAACCCAGATCATAAATTTCAATACGCAAAAGAAAATCCAAAAAAATGAGAGCTTTTGCAGTAGAATTTTACATACCAGGAGGCCATTGAGGGATGGGATCAGGCAGAGAGAAGGGCTCTTCAGGCTCAGGTGGGAATAAATCGGTAAGTTGATTCCAATGGAAGCACTTGCACCCGAACATCACTAACCCGAAACCGAAACTTTCTGCTTCTGTCTCGGCCTCTGGTCTGAAACTCGGATTTCAGAATTATCGGAGATGTGATAGAACAGTTGTGAAAGTGACGAATAGAATGCTTAAATGTGTGGGATGCAACAGTTATGTTTGTGGGGCCGACTCCCACACTGCACACTCAACTTTTTACAAGGGATGTTGATGATGATGATGAAAGATGAAGATGATGAATGATGAAGATGATATGATTAATGAATTTGTGTTCATGGTGGAGTGGGTTTCCTACCGTACTTATGAGTATGGAAGATTTTTTTATTATCAAAATATTATTTATTGATAAATAATAAATATCTAATAGGTAATCCTCACGAGATGACTCCGTAGTTAGGGACGAATTTCATGTCCGTATTTCACACAACACGTCCTCGATACAATTCTTGCCGTTAGTGAATCGCATGATGATATTAAAAAAAAAAAAACTGAAATGCCTATGTGAGTCTTCTCAAGTTTGCATAACAACAAAATAGGAGCATCAATTGGATTCTCTGGAGCTTCGATTGTGTATGCCGTAGAAAGGAGGGTATCTTGGTTTGTAACATGAAAACCTCCATTCGTTAGTGTTTTTTACCAATGGTGCTTAAGCCGTCTTCAAGTTCTGTATTTCTAATTTTTTTAGAGTAAACTTGATATAAGTCTAATTTTATGAGTTTTAATCTACTTTGTTGGGTTAGGTCCATTCACTGATTATCTACAAACAGGAAAGCAGAGACTTTTCAAGGAAATAAGAATAAGAAAGAGGGCTTGCTCTAGAAGAACATCCATCCAATGAAAAATCTGTTGATAGAGATGGTCTTGATTGATGAGCCATTTCACCCAGATTCAGCTTTTTATAACTTGTTTGGAAGTGCTTAAAATGACTAAAATCACTTTTAATGAAAATACTTTTGGAACCAGTTCTTAGTACAAATACAAGTGAATCATGGAAAAACACTTAAAGTGCTTATTGGAAGCACCACATAGAAGTACTTCAAGTGTGTTTGGAACTCAAAAACATTTTCTCTAAAATCGCTTTTAAGTCATTTTAAAAACACTTCCAAATGAGCCCTTATAATCTTTTATTAAATTGTGATGAATGTCATCCTTATTTGAATTTGAGTTTATGAGTCTAATCATTTCAATGCACATAGCCAAATTGTTAAAGCTTAAATATGAGTTTTGAGTCCAATGCTTTCTCCTCTCCTCCAATGCAAAGCTTCAAATCTTAAGCTTAAATATGAGTTTTGAGTACGATGCTTTCTCCTCTCCTCAATGCAAAGCTTCAAAACTTAAGGCTCAAACGAAAATATATTAGGGTGTGCTATTAATATACTTCTTTTTACTTCTTTCATACCCCTTGTTAATTTCTGTCATTTAATTTTCTTTAATTCATTCGATTCAACTACCTAAAATTAGAAAGCTATGAAAAAAGTAAAAATAGGTATGTGAATACTCCACCCCAATATATTAACCCGCCGCCCTTTTGAGATCCAAAGAAATATAGACCTGAGTTGTTGCATTGAAGATGCTCAGAATGAACGAAACGGAATTAAATCGTGTTACTAGTAGGACATGATTTCTGACTTACAATTTTAAAAATAAAAACCTTCCGCTTACAAATCAGAAGAAACACAATTTCCAATTAAAAATGTTTAGAAAACAAATACTATAATGCCTCAAGGCGAGTGAAATATTCTTCAGAAGATTTTTGTCACTGTGAATGTACGTCGTGTCGGTCCAATCGTAATTTTCCAGTCTAAACAAACAGACAGGCAGCCACTGTGCTGCTGCTACGTGTACGGCTGTGAGCGACTTGGACAACAAGGACAAACCACAAGTGTTTTCAACTTCAACGACTCTTCGTTTGGTTGATATAGTCAACTAGGCTTTCCTGCAAGGCAGGCCGACTAATCTCAATAATTTTATTCGTCTACATACATCTATGTAATGTATAGTCAATTGTTCTAATAGTCCTGCCTAGGAAAAGCCTTTGCCATGATTAATTACAGTCGTTTAAAATTAAGATAAGAATATTTCGTTGAATGGCCTATAAGACTGATATTTGTCAGAAGGAGAAAAACATTATTTTATATACACCCATTAAACAGATATGATGCTTATGCTTAGAGATTGTCACTTGTTCAATTAACTTAAGTACTATACGATTTAGAACATGTCAATTTTAATTGTTTTTTAATGAATTGTCTTGAATTAACTAACAGATGCAAATACAGGGACCAGTTTGGTCAAATTGAAGACACAGGAACTAAATTGGCCGATAGAGTAAAACACAGGGACCATCTTAATAATTAAGCCCATAATCTATATATATATATATATATATATATATATATTATTTTATTTTTTTTTTTTTACAATTTATGTATCACAATACAATTATATATTTTTTAAAGTATAAGTAGACATTTATTTTTATGTATATAATAAATAAATAAAAGTGACCCCAAGCTAATAAGGTTCCCCACTTTACGAGGATCTAGCGGGAGAACGTCTATCATACGCAGCCTTATCATTGTTTAGCAAAGAGGTTGTTTCCATGGCTGAACTCATGACTTTTAGGTCAAAAAGTAGACATTTATTATATGTTATAATATATTTAATTAAAATAAAAAAGAACAATACTTGACTACTTAAAGATGAGTAGGAACTTCTACTAAAAAAATTTCAAAATTGTTCGTTGTCAATTTATATAGCTTTGTATTTATAATCAGAACCATTCATATTATAAATCATCCTATAAAGATCGCCTCTAGAAAAAATCAATTAAAACTAAGGTTGTTTAGTTATCAAACTGTTTAAAAACAAATGAATGGTATTGGTAAAAGCATTACAAACCGTCTGTGTATTTGCTACAATAGATTGACTAAACGACCTTAGTTTTAATTTATTTTTTGCAGAGATGATCTTTACAGTGTGATTCATAGTATGGACGGTTTTGATCATATGCACAAAGCTCTGTGATTAAAACACTAAGAGTTTTGAGTAGGAGTTCCTACTCATCTTTGAGTAGTCAAGTATTGTTTACCTAACGACTTTTAGAATCTTGTGTATGATTAACAAAATTAAAAATATAGAAAAAAGCTGTTTTTTTTTCTTATTTTTCTTTTATTTTAACGGAATCGTTATTAACCCTCTAAAAATTAATCGTGCACTAAAATATTTATATATTTACAAAGAAAAATACTGTGCAAAATTTCCCAAATTTAATGACATGCAAAATATTGGGACGGATAATAGCCAAGCCACAAGAATTTATGATCTTGTTGTATCAATGTGCACGATAAAGTTTTATTGTATGAATGTGCCACCTCTAATATATATATATATATATATATATATATATTATAATTATGTTTAGTTTTCGTCTGGAAAGTTGAATCTGATTTGCATCTCATTCTTTTGAAGAGTGTGTTCATGTTAAAATTTCTATTTCATTAAGAATAGTAAACTATGACACATTCCGATAAAAGCACATTTAAATAAACTACTCTCCTGTGTGTCACACCCTAATACGTGTGATAATTGACTTTTTTTTTTTTTTTTTTACTTTTTTTATATTTTACTTACTTTAGATATTATTGTTTTTTAGTAAAATATATTTTAAAAATAATGAACATAATCACCCACACTCTCACTATAAGAGTTTATATTTTGTGAATTTTGTTTTTTATTTTTTGAAATCCTAATGGGAGAAAGATAATTTAAGTATTATGAAAGCTTTACTATTTTTTGCATTCTCCCTTTGTATAGTTTACAACAAAAAACTGAAGTTCATGTGAATTTGTCTACCTTTTCTACTATGTACTTGAAAGAATGTGTACAAAATAACGGGAAACTCGAGTATGCTATGGTACATCTTATAAGATCAGAATTTATAGTTGTTAAATCTTGGTTGTTGGATCCTTAATTAAGGATCGAACGATGAAAAATTTCTTTGTATCATATATACTAGAGCATATTATAAAATTAGTTAAACCAAACTCATAGTGTATGTAATTACAAATGCACGCTCTAAGGTTAAAATTTGAGAAGAACAAAAAGCCTACTAGAATTATATAATGTTTGTTTGTCACCTAAATTAGTTTTTGCGTTTTAAAAAGTTAAAATGGGCTTTTTTAACATAAAAGGTTTATAAAGTGTTTTAATATAAATTGTGTAGCTATGAAGGGCCTTAATATGAATAACTCTTAGAAAATTTTTAAATAACTATCATATCATAAATCGTAAAAAATTCTTGTACATCTAAATACTTTGAATAGCAGAGTATTCAATACTCCGATACACTTAGCCTCACTGCGCTCACCTCGTAACTCGATCATGTGGTGGGTAACAAACAAGCCACATACATTTATCATTTGAGACTTAAAACTCATATTTTCTTATGGTATAGAATCAAAGTGCAGAAAAATCTTGAATTATGGTACCAAAACGTCACAAATGTGTTAACTCAATGAGGATGATTGGTTGTTGGAGTCTTGTGACACATTTAGTTGCCACTTGCTTAGGTCAAGTGTCATGTGATTTTTCTGATAAAGGTGGGTGAGAAAGAGAGACAGAGACAGAGAGACAGAGGTGTATTCATTTCTCAGCACCTTCCACATTTTCCAGCCTGCCAAATACCAAGCAAAACTTAATAACCTGGACCGAGTAAAGTCCAACGCTTTTTTCTCCACCATGCAAGTATTATCATAAATTTTTATTCTCCAAGTGAAAAGGCATATCAAATTCATCAAGAACACACGTTTCCAGCCGCCCCTTTATATATCAGAAGAGAGGGTGTCCAAATAAGGCTCAAAGATAATTAAAATAATTGTTTGTCCTTAAGCCACTGGAGGTGTTTGGAACTGGAATATCCCAAAAAGTGGTAATGCAGCTTCTTCCCTCTCTCTCCTTCCTCATTGCAATTTCACTTTTTTGAAAAGAGCTGATTGAATCAAAGATTTTCTTCATGGGAGTCTTATTCTTTAGTTTCCCAATTTTTCTTTTTCTCTTTGTTCAAGATTCATTGTTTTTGAATGAAAATTTATATATATTCTGGGATTATGATAGCTTCAGCTTCTATTTCTTTAAATGTGTAAGAATGCTAGTAAGTGCTTCCACTAGAAACACTTTTGTTACGAGCATTTTTATTAAGATATTGTCGAAATCATACTAAAAAATCAAGTGTTTTTAACTCAAGAAGAGCTTTTCAACCCAAAAACACTTTTGATTCACATAAAAGCTTTTAGCTCTTTCATAGGCACTTCCGAACATGCCCTCCATTAGCTGTGAAAATTAAATATATTAAAATTTTGGCTGAATATTGTAATAATTGAGCTTCATAATACAAGTGCTCTATGTGTGTGTGTATATATTATATTGTTGCTGACTTTTACAGAATTTCATCATCAGAATCAGAACAGAAGGCAAAGAATCATCAGCAAAAACTTTCAATCATGTTGCTAAGGAGCTCATCAACGCCAGTAATTGGATCTCTCCTTACATCCTACGTCTCAGAAAGTCCTAACATCATCAGCAATCATCACTCTGATCCCAAACCAAGCACCTTCCACCAACACACTCCCACCAAGTTTTCATTCCACCAACCTGGATCTCTCAACATCTCACACAAGTCCTCACCAATCTCTCATTCCTCCCTCGATTTGGACCGGCATTCGCTAACCGGGTTCCGAAGGGCTCAGTCTGATGGGAACTTGGAAGGACTGGCCTATGCTTCTTGTGACACTGAAGATCAGTTCTTGGATTCAAAACTACCCAACATGTTCTCTGCAAGATCCAAGTGCATGATGCTGGAAACTATACCGTCTGTTTCGTTGCATAAGTCGGGAGGCTATGAAGATGATGAGGACGATAGTGACGTGGAATATGAGGAATATGAGGAAGAGGAAGAAGAGGAGTTCGGTGAGGAGAATCTGGAGAGAGTTGTGGCAACGGAAGGCAAAAATGTTGGTTTAGAGGAGAAGGTGAAGAACGTGAGCTTAACTCAGGATTTGAAATTTTTGGACAAAATATGGAGGGCAGGGTTTGAAGAAAAAAGAGAGCTTGCGAGTCAAGAAATGTATCTTGGAAAGGGGCTTGGGGTTGGTGGTGGTGGCAGTGGTAGGCGCGGTGGCGGAGAGGTTAAGTGGGATGGCTATGGTAGTGATGGAGGAGATGACAACCGTGGGGCTGAGGGGCATTACAAGAAGCTGGTTGAGGAAAATCCAGGAAGCCCTTTGTTCCTTGGAAATTACGCTCAATTTTTGTATCAGGTGAACTTTCTGTTCTTCTGTACTTTGTGTTTTCGACTTTCTAATATATGGGATAAGAATTGAATTCGGGTGTAAGAGGATGGACACTGCTATCCTGGCCAACTAACCTAACTCACGTCTAATGTGTTTTCGGCTTTTTATTTTTGGTCTTTGCGTGTATACTAACATCAAATGTCTGTTTTCAGACCAAGAGAGATCTTCAGGGAGCAGAGGAGTACTACTCTAGAGCCATCCTAGCAGATCCTAATGATGGTGAAGTTATGGCTCAATATGCTAAGCTAATTTGGGAGCTACACCATGACCAAGATAGAGCCTTGAGCTACTATGAACGAGCAGTCCAAGCTGCACCTCAAGACAGGTACTTTGAATTTTAGTTCTAAAAATTAACGGAAATGATTTATGTACATCCTCTTTCTCGTGCACGCCTTCCTCGTCTTCGGATTGAATAAACAAAAGAAGAATCACGGGACGAAAATAAGGAGAGGCGCGCAGGAAGAGAGAAAGTGCGTGCGGTCTTCAGATAAAGAGTTTAATCTGGAGTGAATTTTAAGGCACCAATCTTGACATAACTTGCCATTTTCCAATTTCAGCCATGTCCACGCAGCATATGCCAATTTTCTCTGGGAAGTAGAGGAAGACGAGGACGAAGCCGATGCAGAGTACATTCACCGCGCCGTGCCATTGTATCTTCACGAAGGAATCATGACATCTGCAAGTGCCTAAAATTGTTTGCTCGCGTTGTAACGGTGACTAGGTTGCCAACAAGAATGGTCACGACCTATGTATAAACATTTTTCTGAGATGAATGGTTGTCCTCTCAGTTTTTACCTCTTTCGTTGGCGACAATAGACTCGGAATGAGAACGGAAGCAAATCCGATCTCCCGAAAGCACAGAATAATTGCCCTAGAAACAAGGGACGAGAACACAGAAACACAAGAAATATATCAACGAAATCAGAAAAGCTTCATATGGGAAACTGGAAACAAACATCTTATCACATTCCCTCACAACTGGGGCTGAAAGGCCCAAAATTCCCCGCTTGAATCGCATGATAAAAACCATCCAAGGGGAACGAAAACCTGTTAACTGTAAACAGAGACGGAAGTTCAAATAAACTTTCATGTGACACTCAAAAAAGTACAAATACAATTTGACGAAACTATCTAGGAATCTTCTGCATTTGAAAAGCTTTCTACCGCCCCGGTAAATTTTGCTTCGATTTTCTGCCGTATGAACACAGAACTAAAGTCCTTGCTGGCTTATCGTGTGCCACGCTGATGGAAACCATTGCCTCTGGGTCTGCTGTAATCTCCATCCTGGTAACCACCCCTGCCTGAACTCCGGCCACCAAAACGCCCCCTTGTGGCGTCAGTTTGGTAACCTCCTCTGGCCCTGCCCCTTCCTCCTGGTTGAAAAATTCAAAATCCACGTAAGGAGACCAAAAGTTGAGCAAATTAAATGTTCTCTCTAATGAAAACAGATGCATAGATGCTTAATAGTTTGGTAGATCACATTCTAAATGCTGGCTATGCCAATAGACTCAGTAAGCTCATGAACAGACAAATGATTTGGTTCCACGAAAAACCTTGACACTAGTAATCACATTGTACTGACAGATAGAGTAATGCACATCTAAACGACATCTTAGAAGAAGGAAGATTGCAATGCAAATTTGATTCTGAGACTGATTGGGAAAAAGCATGTTCTCTATCTCTAACACAAAAAAATTCTAAGATTTATGAAGGCAACACCACTTCCTTGGAGCAGCTACCAACACAGCCGTAAGGGCCACTTGAGGACTCCACACAACATCCCTGATACATCCCCTTACACTCATGTTTTTCCAACAGATACAGTATTTAAGAATAACATCATGCAGGACTAAGTCTGACAATTTTGCCAATCAAAGATGTTAAGAAAAGAATAATGAAATTAAGCACATACTTCCTCGAGCTGCTGCTCCAGCACTGTTTGGTCTCCGCTCCTCAATGTATACTTGCCTTCCAGCTAAATGAATTGGAGACGCCTACAGGGAAAAACACACTTTAGGCCATGCACAATATATACAGATCACTTCACCAAAAAATAATGCTTTTTGTAGAAGATTGATAAATTTTACTAAAATGTGCTAAACAGCAAAATACAAGAAGCAATGGACCAGCAATACAAGAGATATACCCCAAAATAAAAACCCTACAATCAAAACTACATTGTAGAATGACACCAAGCCCCAAAGACATCATAACCTCCTGAAAAGGGAACTGACTGAAGATGCAACATCATATCAATCCACATTAACAGAAAAGAATGGAGTAATTTTAATTCTAGATACCGAATCCCATAGAGATTGCCCAATAATTGACCATATCCCACAAGAAATTCAGTTAACACTTTGCACTGAAAAATTCAACCATTTATCTGCAATAAAATGACCTTAAAACATCAAAACACCATACCCCACACATTTTAGTATAGAAGTACAAATTACAGACAAAACCCAAAACATATATAACAAAGCAAATACACAGGCAGATAGATCATCAATGGTGACAAGAGTGCAAGAGCAAGTACGGTAACTGTAAATAATTAAATGCCCAAAGACAAATGCAATATGCCCTAAGAATTCGCAATAGATGCATAACCACATACAAGAACTAAGAGGACTTAATCAAATAACAGGAAATCTTCCTTTATCCATGAGCATTTTGAAGCGAAAGCCAAAAACTCAACAACTTGAATCACAAAAAATAAATATATAAAATAAAATCAAACCTTAAGTGCATTGTGAACACTGGCAAAGTCTTCATATTCAACAAAAGCGTAGCAGACTCCAATTTCCTGCATGCACCAATTTCTACTTCAGCTCCAATCCAGTTCAAAGATACCGGCATAATTGTAGGAGAGAAAAAAAACTCACCTTGCGAGCTCTAACAAAGACTCCATCAGGTTTAATTTGACCAAAGTTTTTAAACTCCTCCTCGATCTCATCTTCAGTAACCGTAGGAGGCAAATTTCTTACATAGACAGATTTCAGAAGTTCACCTGTAACAATAATTTAACATAAGGTTCAACTTAGAAATGCTTAAAATGTACCTAATTAAATTTATAAAACTACAACATCTTGACATATCAAAGAACCTGAAATTTCAATCCGAAATTCCTCATACATGCTGGAGCTCACCAACCAACTTATCAATTCAAAACTCAAATTATGAATCTTTGTCATGCAATTTATAATACAAAAAATTAATAGCATGGTCATTGCATCATTTTCATTCTGACAAAACAAAATAATCTATTAAATTAATAATACGGTCCAATGCAACATATTCAGGTGTCGAGTAAAATATGGCTCAAAGGCTACCTTCTTCCTCCACTGCATAACCTTCCTCTGTTGCTTCTGCCCCAGACTCAGGCACAAATGACTGAGCAGAGTTGGATTGTTCAACAGCTGGCTGAGGTGTGTAATTCCACTCTGACGAAGTTTGAGCACTTCTATTATAAGGTTGTGGAGCTACTGCTGGTGCAGACGGTCCTTTAGCAACCCGCAACTATTTTTTTTGGTCATATACAACAAAAAATAAAACATGTGTTACTAAAGCATGTTCAACAAAATAGAGCTAACGGAATATCAGATTGTTGCGCAACTGCAGTATAGTTGAAGCAGTTTCCAGCTGATGCAAAAAAGAAAAATTCACACGCGCAAAGACGCAGACAAGGACATAAAGACATGCTCACACAAGAGTAGTAGGAATCAGTTTAGGCACATACTATAGAAGCATAAGTTTTCTTTTGAGGCTCTCCCACCGGTTCCTCGACAGCAGCAGCAGGTGCGTCTTGCACATTGTTTACCACACTTTGAAACGACGAATATGTCTCCTCCACAGGAGTTTCTTCCACCACCACTTCAGTCTCAAAATCGTGCTGCACCTGTTGCTCTGGGAGACTATACTTATCAATTGGATCATCTTCTACATCAACGGAGTTCACGTACTCCCTGGGTTCTTCCTCATAGACATAGTCAGAAACTGCAGAGAAAAAAATCTCGAGTTATAGCCAATACATACAGACCAACTTTCTCCAGCAAAGTAATCCTTAACATCTTTCCAATGATGCATATGGAGAACACTATAGCAATACATGCATGGATACCTCCCAAAATTAACAGCTAGAAAAAAGAAAGCAACCAAAAAAGCACAGTAATGTACATGAGCTTTTCCCACCTCTGATTGTAATATAATAATATTACCCTCGACCTGGATTCACCAAACATTTCTGCCAAACGCTAATTAAGGAAAGCAGAAACATAATGAAAATCCTAACATGCACAAAGGCATAGTACTCTGAAATTTATAATGACAATGTCTACAAATAAGAACCCCATTCCGAGAATAACTCAATAAATTAAATCCTAAATAACAATTAAAAGATGTTAGCACCTGGTGGTTCTGGAAGGGGGCTAGAAGAACTTGGTTGCATATCAAATCTGCCTTCTGACTGTATGGGTTCAGGATGTTGGAATACAACTTCATCCTCAATGAACTGAAGCATATCATTGAGAACAAAGTAACCTTTGTCCTGGGGAGCCAGAAAGAAAGTCTGGACAAATTTCCTCCTTCCACTTGATTCCCTTGTTTTAACAAACCCTTTAACCATCACAAGAATACCTCCATCCCAAGAATCGCTGGAATTGATTGTCTGGATCTCAATTGAGGTAATACCTAGTGACACTACAAGTGAATGAATTTGCTGCACAGATATAAAAAAAGGCATCAAATGAGCTAATTACATAACAAGGGAACAAAAAAAAAACACAAAGGTCTAAAACTATCCAACCTAGGAATGCAAATGAGTCATTTGAAATGGCAAACACATGTGTATGAAATTATGAATGTAGAAGGTTGTGCATAAACATTCAAACACAACTTGAGAGAGGATCTATATAATGAAACATACAAACCACGACACAAAGCAGGGGTTACATATAAATTTTCCCTCACAACTTAAAGCACTGCACGGTACCAATGACACTAATCTTAAGATGATAATCAATTCCAACAACTCAATACATCTAAAGTGACGTTTTTCTTTGTTCTTGGTTCGTAATTGGGATGAACCTCATCAACTACCACTTATCCAAGATTAAAGGAAAGCATCGGGGACATTAGAGGGAGCAAATGGTACATATGCAGAGAAAGTCAATAAACAACATTCCAATCCCTGATATTCAGACTTCAACAAACATTTAATTGTAGCTTAACATAATAATAGAGAGGTAAGTTTTAAAATCAAACTGGGGAGCACCTCTTGGTCCAAACAGTAAAAAATTAGGACCACGCCAATGCAAAGTGACTATCATTTCCTAGAAACACAGGATGATTTAACATTGACCAAAGAAAAATAAAAATAACTGAACCAAGAAACTCAATTCCGTGCCGCTAAGAGTAAGAAGGGTCCAATTACCAGTATACCGGCAGCAGATTCCGTGGAATCGCCATCGACACGAATCATGGAGCTTCCATCAGAGTAGAACTGATGAACAACATCAGGTTGCTTTTGAAGAATCTGATAGTACTGGGTCACAAAGTAAGAACCCACCTACAAAAACCCCCAAAGCACCCATTACACACAATACAAATCCACCTATACATACACACAACAAATAAGCACACACCGCAAATAGTATAAAGATTGAATCTTGACCTGAACAGCACGAACAGCTCCCGGATTAGAACTTGCCATTGCCTCCTCTCTCAGCAGAAAAGCATGCAGCGACGAAGAAAGACTTTTTCTTGTACTCTGCAAAACCCTAAATCGCAGTCGTCTCCGTCAACACTCTGATCGGACGCAGATCCACACACACAGAGAAGCAACTACAAATCCGAAACCCTAAACCCAAAGGTTTTACGGCACCTCGGGATTCGTCCCCGTCTTCGCTTGCCGAGGACCGGAAGTAAACGGAAGCTCAAAAATGGCTTTGTATCTCCCAAAGGGTTCTGCTTCTGCTGCTTGCTTCCGGCTTTTGCCTTGTGAGCCTTCGATTCGATAGTTTTAAAGGGTTTTGCGGCAGGAAATCACGGCCGTTCGATTGCTTCGAATCTCGGCCGTTCAACGCAACCCGTGCAAAGCTTTGCGTAGAGATACAAAATGGGGAAATATCAAATATTTATGTAGGCGCCCACAAGTTCATGAACTTCTTTCGATTTAGCCTATGGACTTTCGATTTTGTTTTAAATTGCTAGTATTTGTTACTTGTATCACATTTTCTTAGTTTCCCCACTAAATTATTCAAAGACGGGAAAATCCGATTCAGCAAGGTTTTACGCAAATTGAGTATTTGGGTCTACTTTTATTAGAAGCGGATCGATTGTTTGGTTTAATATATGAATTTTATGCGTTTAATTATTATAAAATATGACTTTCACAACTATTAATTTTTAAAATGTATCAAACTCACATATTAAATATTAAATGTGACTCTCAGAGCTATTAGAAGATAACTTAAACCATACATGTCTTGGTAGGATCTCAACCGTCGAAAATCAGAATCACATCCATCGATTTGATAGGGTAAGATCAAATCGACGGCTGAGATCCTAGCAAGGGGTGTATTGGGAAAGTAGTGGTGGATGAGAGCGTGATCAAATGCGCTCCACTTGATCTTTTGGTCGGGGTTTGCTAAATTTCCTGGTTTTGTGAGGCCGAGTGGAAAAGCCAATAGAGGAAAGATGGAGTGGTTTTGCCAATTAGGGTTAAGTCATGTGTTTGGAATGGTTTTTGCCAAACACAGCGACATGGGGTTTGGGCAACCGAATTTGTACCTTCTAAATAAGGTAAGTAAAATTACCCAATTAGGTTAAAAAGAACTATTTCCTTTCAGGATTTTACAACGACGAGTAGCGTGCTAAGTGAAGAAGCCGCGCTCAAACGCATGCAGATCCCACAATAACTACAAGACTCAAGTGGATCAACAGTGAAGTTTTTTGTTTGTTTCGATTTTGCCAAGGTGAGTTGTGCGCTGTATCAAAAAGTCGCGACAGATGCATGTAAGTTCAGCTATAACTTTAAGATTCATGTGGATTGACAATCTAATTCATGTTTGTCTAAAATTTTGATGAGATGAGCCATGTGTTGCATCAAAAATTGTGTAGATGCAATGTAAACCACAATACAAGACTCACATGCATTGACAATCTTGTTCTTATTTGTCTAGTTTTTCATTGTAACTTGCATCAATGATCAATATTATTGTTTGTCCGATTCATATAGATAAATCTCCATGGTGAGTAATTTATCCTCGAACCTTCCAGCATAAGGCTTATTTGAAACTATTTCAAAAGCGTGTTCGGATCACTAAAACGTTTTTCATCATGATTGACAAAAAAATTAAAAGTGCCGTATGAAATAAGCAATTGCAGTGTGCTTAATTTAGAAAACACTTGAATTTTTATTTAAAATTTCCACGTGCTCCTAATACAAGCGTTTTCACTAGAACTGCTTTTGACGAAAAAGAATTATAAACTTCCAATGATACAATCTAACATGAATTTAAAGGGTCGAGGCATGTCGCATTCGGAGACTTCCGATTCCGACGACGATGACATAGTTAAACTTACAGTAAACAACAATTAACCGTCATGTTAAAAGATCGATACACGAATACAATTTCCACAAACGACTAAACTGATCACTCTCTGTGTCTCCGCCAAAAATATGTCAGCTACAAACCAATGTTTCCGAAAAATGTAACTCAGTCTATCAGTCAGGTTTTCAAAAGGAGAAAATTAAGTTACAAAGGCAAAATATGCAGGCTTATTCCTGCCACATCAGTAGTAACTCCCATAATACGCCTGAGGAACTGAAGCAGGCTGCGGAGCCGGTGCTACTGCTGCCGCTGGTGCTACCGCTGCCCCGGTTGGATGCGCGTAACTTTGTGGCGGGACGGCCTGCTGAAATTGCAACTAAACTATCAGCTCTCGGAAACTACACGAAACACCAGAATAAATGAAAGACAAAGTAACATACCTGAGCAGGATATGTAGAAGGATAAGCACCATAAGCAGCAGTTTGTGGCGCCACCGCAGGCGCTTGCGGATTAGCGTAGCCAGCAGTTCCATAACCACCATATGCATTGTACGGCTATTGAAACAAAATTTGACCAAACGAATCAGATAATCAATTCTACTTTTAAGATTCAAAATAATGGGCGAACGTGAAAATTCAATCGTTGAACAACGAAAGGTTTCTCTATCAAATGAATCATGTCAGAAAACTACCTGTTGGGTATAACCAGCTGGCCACTGTTGTCCCTGAGCAGCTTGCGTAGCCGGTGGCCAAGCTTGAGGCTGTGCACCATAACCAGCTGGCCATTGGCTCTGTGCATTTGGATATGCTCCCATGATCGACTGGGCGGGCGATGGAACACCAGAGTAAGCTTTAGCTAGCTTCACTTTATCTGAAGATAGAAAGTCCTCAGCTTGACGTTTTTTCAACTCTGACGTGCTGCTCCTATGAGGTATGAAGAGCTTAGCATGTCGATCCTCAGCCTTCTTGATAGACACTGCATCTCCAAAGAGATTAACAAACTGCAAAATCATTTGTTAGCACGTTAGAACTACAAAGCCAAAATAAAATAAAATCTGAAAGAAACGGAACATTCAGGCATTTAAAAGGCCAAAAGGACAAATGAAAATTAACTTGAAGGGCAAACTTGTTCAAGAGCAGCATCCTTCGCAGGGAACCATTAAAATATTTCACCAGTGACAGAACATAAACATGCACCGTAGTGCTAGTTCCACCTTTCAATATTTAAATGTGTATGTGTGTGTGTGTGTGTGTGTGTGAGAGAGAGAGAGGGAGAGTGTGTGTCCGCTCAAATATCATTCAACGCAACACTAAACATACCTCTGAAAAAATGAAAAGTTAATCTTACAAGAAAACATAAAATCTATACCTCCAAATAGATGCCAGATAGCTCTTCTCTGTCAGCAATGCTAGCAAAATTGGGGCTCTCTGAGCTGGGCTCTATGAACTTCACAACCAATGAATCTATGTGATCAATTCGCTTTGGCAGTGGCTGTATTGTCTCGAAAACTATCATGGACTGCATGTGAAAATTAAAGGAAAGAAGAGAAATTAGGACATTGGCTACAAGAGAGGAGAAAAATATACATATGTGTGTGTGTTTATCTATACAGAGAGAGAGAGAGAGAGAGAGAGAGAGAGAGAACCTCAAGAAATGCTCTTGACAGTTGTACATGCTCGAGTGCTCCATCTAAAATTTCTCTAGCTTTTTCTGCATTCGAAGAAACCTAGGAACAATAGAAAAATAAAAGCAATAAAATTCCAAAACATTTAGTTCAGTTGAAACTTCACATCATCAATTTCACGTTCTGATTTTGAAAAGAAAAATGCAAGTAATAGCTGATATATTTCAGAGGAAAAACACATACACAAAAAAGGAACCACCAAAAACAACTCTAGTATGATCCATAAGACTTTTATTTTATAAAAAAAAAAAAATCAATACAAAAATAAGCTAAAACTTCAACAGTAAATCAAAAGAAAAAACAGACATCAACTAATAACCTACCAGGTAAGTGAACCGAGAGTACTGAGCATACAACATGGGCAACGTCTGTGAATGCTCTTTTCCTTTTTCAATGGCAATGGCCTGTTCGTATAAAGAGTAGGCAGCTTCCACATTTCCCTATGAAAAAAAATTAAAGAAATGACCAGGTTTAAACATGCAATTTGTGTAAGGAAACTGGTATGGTTCAACTTGTTTACATCATCTTACCAAACGGTGTTCCATATTTGCATGCTTCACGATTGCTTCAAGAAGACCAGGCGAGAGTTCAGAATGTACAAGTTGATAGGCAGCTTGAGCACCAGGTATATCCCCACTCTGCTCTTTGAATCGAGCAGCAAAAAGGTGAATCTCCGGTTGTCTCTGTAATTTCAAGAGAAACAGGTCAAACATGCAACATTACCAGAAAAAAGAAACGTTACTCAACAGAATGATAACATAAAGAAGGCATGTTCCCAAAATTTTGTTCAGTTGTGAGCAATATCTCCAGTTCAACACATAACTAAATCAGCATATGATAATATATCACTAACTTCAATATAAGGAATACGTATGCATCCCGTATGAAAGGCTGGTAGTAATGTCACATAAAGGTCTCTGTTATGCATCTGTAATTCTGTATCTAACGTAGGATAAAAAAAGAAATAGAAATTTCCTAATCTTCAACTGGAAGAGGCAAGGTTTACAAACATAACACAAGGCAAAGATAGAGAGAAGAAAATGCCATGGATGATTGTTTGATCATATTCTGTATCTGCCCAGCTCACTTTGAGGGTTCAATGGTCGATAATCTACAATAGTTTCAATACTTTAAAATCTAAGTTCATAATCATGTTTGTGACTGCTGTGACAGGTAATATATACAGCATTCTAGACCAATCTTGATAAATGCATGCACAACATTGGACTTCAATTCCCCACGCAAACTAATTTATTAAGTGATTCATTTCAGTCCACAAACTACAATTTACGAGGATACAAGATTAGTTAGAAAAAAGGAAGACATGGTTTTATCATCATTATCTCTTTCAAAATAAAGAATTATTGAAGTTCATTCACCACAAAATTGTGTCTAAGTTGATAGCATACAAGGAAATACCTTCACAAAAACCTGGGTTGCACGTGCAAGAGCATTATTGGCAATATCCATACTTCCACTGGCCTCCATGCATAGAACATATCGAATCCAATATTCAGGATAATTAGCACAAGCAATTAGGCACCTTTCATATAGCTTGACAACCTTCACAAAAATAAAATAAAAATTAATTAAAAAAGGTGCATTCATTAACCATAAAAGGAACGAATGGATAAGCAAAACACAAAGGAGATATGCCCAAGAAATACTCCATTAGTAGAACAGAGAGGCCCCTCAAATAGGAAAGGAGGGACCCTCCTTGCCTGACAGACAGATGGTTAGGAAGATAAGAAGATACCTGCATGCATAACATTGGAACTTTAAAAACAATAAAATTTATTAACACATCATGAACCTAGAATGTGCACTGACAAATGAGAGTTTGAAATACTTAGCCTCAAAGAAACCAAATCGAAGGCCCATGCTTTAGTCTCAGTTCAAATTCCCGTTTTAAAAGTTGCTTCATCCAACGATTTAGCCAATAAAGCATAGTGCAGCAAATATTACTCGGCTGTGAGTTAATGTTTAACAAGCAGGGCAACTAAAAACTTCAAGCCATAAATCCAAAAACGAAATCAAATTCACTGAAAATACCTTGCTCAAGTCGCCTTCCCTTTCTATAAAGTCTAGGTAGCTGGTCCAATTTTCAAGCTCTACAGAATTGAGAGGCCGCACGTGAAAGTAGGGCCTCCTAATAGCTGTTTCAAAACTAATGATCTTAGAATCGAACTCTTTAGCTTTCTTATACACATCTTCTCTAACGGTGATATACTTCTCCAACTCCTCTGCTTCTGTTAAGTCAGCACTTACAGGTTTAGGAGATTGTTCTGCACCATCAGATTGAACATCTTCCCCATTTACTTTGTCAATACCCTCTGAATGTGCACCTCCTGCTGCTGCAGCTTCTTCAGCAGTCCTCAATTCTGAGAGTGGCCGACTTCCAGCTAACTCCTTAAAGCTGTTGGCACCAGGAATAATACAAACAAATTTCAATACCATGCAAGTAAAGATGCACTATCCACATAAGTGTTCATGCACATAGAGAAATTGCATGTAAAGTTGTAAACATACAATATTGTAGATTTAGTATAATTCTATGAGAACCACAAATCAGACACAAATATATACTTATAACCAAACATTATGAGGGGCATTCTTAGCTTGATGGCAAATAGAATATATTTGTACTATATATGAACGCTTCGAATTTACAGGTTACCCACGTGCACAGCACATCCATCAACTACAGTCATGCATTCCAGGACAACAAAGTGGAACCAGGCGCCCCAAACGAAAATATGACAATTAACTACTTGAAGTTTAAACGAGTAAACAGTGAATTTTTCATAAGCTCTTCCATAAACTTCCAGAAGCTACTTGTGATACTAGCCAAGCACACAGTGATACATTTGTCCCTGGCCCTACCAAGTAAATAATTCAAAAACAGCAACAAGCACAGACAATCACTGCTGACATTATCTTCAATGCCATACAAATCTAAGATATAAATGCACAAACTGAAAACCGTCAAATACTGTAACCAAAAAGAGATGAAAAAAAACCCCAAAAAATAAAATATTAAATTTAAACAAATATGTGAATGTGCAGCTGGTGATCACCTGTTCCAATAGCGATCCAGTTGCTGATTTGGGTTCTCTAATATTCGTGAATAGATCATGGCAAGGCGGCCCCACTCCTGCTGCATGTACTCATATTCTATGTACTTATCCCACAGAGTAAAGGACAGGTAATCTGTTCCAACATAAGCAAGTCCTCGCTCAAAAAGCCTGAAATGCCATAAACATGAAGTATTGTGATGAGATGAGTACAAACGTTATACAGCTGAGATAAACACATCCATGAAAGGGAGACACCGGCACAATTCAGTCTAACACCATATGACACTTCTAAACGCTGAATTTACCTTCCTGAAAAAAACCATACTATGTCCGTCAAATGGAGCAGTGATAGAGGCCATCTAAGCCCTTAACTGGCTGAGATCTTCCCGGCAGCAATTTGCATAATGATGCACTTCAGAGTGTCAAAGTTAAATAGAGCCATAATTCATTGACTTCTAAGTTACTAAGATGCAGGTCTTCATGATATGGTAGAACACATATTTGAGGTCAAAAATGGAATTAGAACGTTTAAAAAAAAAAAAAAAAAAACTACTCATACTGTAGCCTCAAAACCAAGGGATTGCACATCAGAAAAACATTTCAAAAGTGCATTCCCATCAAACCTTTCTGGAAATACATGTGAGGAATCACTGTTGAATCATACTGAAATGAGGTTAGAAAACAAGAACACCAGTATGTTGCAACTGAGAAACCATACAACCATGAACTACCAAAGCAAAGACCAGCACCAACAATGCATAAAAGAAGATCTATTACCTTCTAATAGTGTCTGGATCTCCATATGTGCTTATAGCAAAAATGCAGTAATGCAACCAGATATCAACTGAATAGGTAACACCTTGAACTGCATGTTCATAAACCTCCACAACTTTATCGATAGAACCTAGACGTGCCTCATGATCCGCATACTTTTTCCAATAACCATAACATAATGGAAACTCTGCTAAAAAAGCATCATAAACTTTCCGAATTTTCAATATGTTATCCTGCATATAAACGTAGAGCAATTTGTTAGTTCAAAAAAGAACTGCTAGGTAAATGTATGAATCGTATTCAAATAGTCAGTAGATTCCAACAGCAAGAGTTGTGGCAAACACCAAGTAAAGATTTCACTTATAAGAACAACAACATGATAAAGTAACCACAATATTTATTGCATATTACCATTTCCATAATATAAAGGAGCAGACTTTCTAATTTGGAAATCCTCCTTTCCTCACTGTCTCACTACTATTATTATTACTACTACTATTATTTCATTCTCCAATTGGTACTACTACTATCAACTTAATTTCTCGGTCAGAAGAACTATTACTAAAAGTTAGCCTCTATCTTTTTATGCCTCATAAAATAAAATAAACTAATATCTAAGATTATACAGAAAACTACAGCTATTTCAAAAGATAGCTACTTTCATATTTACCCACTAATGCAAACCATGGGAGCACCATGGTATGCTAAGCCAGCTGACCATCAAAGAAATATCTAAGAACATATACAAGGCACAGAAAGTTCACAGTTTTGCAACCTCATATGAATCATACTTAAATAACAACAATTTCTGGGCCAAAACCTTATCTTTTGCAACCTCAGATGATTCACACTCACCCAAAAGATTAATCTAATAACTCAAAAATCCAGCTAACATACCTCTGCAATCTTCTCTGTCTCTTCAATTAAAGCAGTCCAGGCATTAAAATCCAAGGAATTAGCCCTCACAATGTTCCACAGTCTATCTTCTTCGACAGACATGGCTGCAATAAAAGAAACGAAAGAAATAAATATATGAAAACATGTAAACTGATAAATGAAGTAACTCCAGAGTCCAGACCCATAATCTAGAAGGAAGAACAAAATACCAAGATGAAGATTAGAAGATATAACTACAAACTCCCTATTGGAATCCCAACATTTAATACCCCCGTGTTTTGAAAAATGGCAGATTCGTTAAAGGAACATAAGAACAAAACAATCTGTTCCTGAGGGTACAGTTACTATCTGAAAGGACAAGCATCATCATGTATTTACTGCAACCTTAAAGCATCTGATGACAAGTTCAGAATTTTATCTGTAAATAGTACTGTCTCTATTGGCTCACTGACAACTTATGGATATACCCGAAACAGGATATTTACCACATTTTTAAATCCCACTCCCATGACAGCAACAAGATAATTTTGAAATGGTTAGAAATCTCTCCAGATATGCTTACAAGATGAGTGCATATCTTTTACTAAACACTTCCTTAATAAATGTTCAATTAATACAAGAATACGAGGTTTGTTTAACAAACTACTGTTACATAATCACATGCTAACTTTCAGATCAATTACTGAAAGATACAGGTTTCATGTGGCTAAACAAAAGTCAATGGTAATCTCACCCAGAAAACATGCAAGAGAACATACCAGAAGCATCCCCAAATTGTTGTGGATCAAGAGGTTCGGCATTATCTGAAGCATTGCCATTATGAACTGATGAAACAGTTCCCACTCCAGAAGCAATAACACCATTCATAGAAGAATCATAACTAGCAACTTGAGATGACTCCAAGGCATCATTTTCATTACTAACAACATTCCCACTAGCATCTGTCACTCCAACAGCCGGTTTGGTCTCATATGCTGTGTAACTTTGTGTTTCTTGCATGAGAGAATTGGGATCCGCAGAATATGCATTTCCATCGCCTATGTTAGAACCGCCAGGCGTATTAGAAAACTCTGGGGTAGCCTCAGAATGCAATGCACCTGCATCAGTAGCAATATTTGAGCTGGCATCAGCATATCCTGTTGAAGTATATCCTGCTGATGTATACCCCATCACTGCAGATGTTTGAGCAACAATTGTCTCACTGTCTGCCATACTTGATGATCAAATTTTTTCCTTCCTATCGTACCAACTGCAAGAATATAAACAATAAACTTATAAGCACTACAGCCAATTTAGAGGAGCGAGACAGGGTCCCACTTACAATTAGGTATGCAATCCAAAACATATAGTAATTAAGAACTAACCACTCAAAAAAAGGAGAGTAGAATGTTCTAAATATTTGTTTTGCCAACATTGTAACCTCTGGATACTAATAGAGCTGTTATCATGGAACAGTAGGAATGAAGTCAAGTACAAGCCTCTAAAAACGGATCAGACACGGATGCACATTGACTAACGTCCTCAAACGTCCATCACACATATTTTCAACTAACAAAATAGTTCTTACAAACACATTATGACATGCTTTAGTAGAGAAACTGGTTAATCTTTATATTCATAATACGTAGTGTAAAAATGTACTGTAATTAGTGTCGAACTAATAAAACAGAAGTACGACAACTAATTCGCCATCAAAACCACAGCTCGGTCACTATTTGACAGATCAGCTGTGTACATAACCCTTTCAGGACAAATATAATCAAATCATCGCAGACACTAGTAACGAATCAATAAAAATGCGGGTTCGATAAAATTCTGATGAGTTTTCAACTATTCATCATTACATCTGGGTGCAACTTCTACCAGTTTAATTTAAATGTCGAAACTCCAAATTTTTAAATAATCAAACAAAACTGCACCTAAGTTTCTGCATATTACATGTCCAATCTGAATACTAACAGAACTAAAACCAGAAGGGAAAACAACTCTCATTGAAAATTAAACAATTCGCAGTCAAATTAAAACTTAACAAGCAACAAGCCTAGGGTTTGGTAGGATAAGATAAACCCTAATTGAAATACATAGCAGTAAGAAACGGAAACGAAAGGGTTTGGAAGAAGAGAGAGGTACCTGAGGGAAAGATACGGCGGCGTTTTGAAGAGAGTTCTGGAACTGAGCTTCGAGGAAGATATGGAGAGAGAGAGAGAGAGAGATTTAAAGCCCTTTCAGTAAACAGAAATTTTGGTGGTAAAACGAGAAGCAGCAGAAAAAGAGAGAGACGACAGCTTGAAGGGTGTTAGGCGCAGGGCATGTGTGCTTTATTTTATTTTATTTTATTTTTATTTTCTTTACTTGTTTCCTTTTTTAATGACGTGGAGGTCTTTTTGGGCCGTCCAAATTTTGTAGATAGGGGGAGGGATACTAGGTTTGGGCTTGTTGTGATAGACTAGCCCAATTGACCAAATGAAAGAAAGAGAGTAAAAACTTGTTTAGACGTGTTTTTAAAATAGTTGAAAGCGTTTTTCGCGGACATGTTTTTTTGCGTACTTTCTCTTTATACCCAAAATTCCACTCTCCATCTCCGCACCAATGAAGCCATGTTTTTCCTTTTCTCAAGAAACAAATAACTATATAATTTCCGATAAGTTTAGTAATGTCTTATATTTGTACACTGTACAAAGTTGGAATAACTTCAAGAGTTAAGATCTAAAATCCAAGCGAGAAATTTACGTTTATCGACTTACAATATCAGAATAAGAGAAGAACTGTATGTATAAATTCTCACAAGTGAAATACATCACACCTTAACAAAGCTCAAATGATGAAAGAAACAAATCATTTAGCACACCGAAATTTAACTTGAAGTGAAACTTGGTTTCCACGTTCCAAGACTTGCATGCTGTTTTCCCACCAAGGGTTTCTGAAACTTACTTTTCACATCACCATTATTACTGTTAAAATTTTTTTAATATTGGAGCCTTTGTTCGTGTTCATAGCCACAGGCCTTGCAGTTGCAGTTGCAGTTGCCTTCTTCTTCGCCTGACTTGGAGCTTTCTTGGCTTCTTGATGGGGCCTTTGTGCAAAACTGGTAGCAATATTAGGGTTTCTCACTTTGATGGTAGGTATTAGGGTTTTTCACTTTGATAGCCGGTGAGTTCTTACGATCGACTATCTTGTTTATGCTTCCAATCATCCCATCATTTTCTGAAAACACGAAAATCGAAAAATAAAAACTTCGATCCTTTACATGAAATATACAAATTCTGATGAAAGAAGAATCAGAAGATCAAATTACCAGGACTCGATAACACAGCGCGAGGACGGAGGACTAAGCAAGCTCTAGCATCTGGTGTTGTAGCCTTGCCAAGATTTTTGCTGTTCTCTATTGTCATTAACAAGTACAGATTAATTTTCAGATTATTAGATGGTAATAACCAGAAGGGTAAAAAAATTTTAAAGCCGAAGTTCAACCTTTGGATGGAGAAATTGATTGTCTGGGTAACTTAGGTGCATAAGCCTCCATGGTTAATCTGGCAAGCAATGGTGAAGAACAACTTTTAATCTCCTTCGCTGCAAAATATACGTATGAAACTTAGGTATCGTCCTATACGAATACAGATTTTTTTACTTATATCAACTTAATAATTCTCGAGAAGTAAAGGAAATTATATCGTAGTTCAGCTATTTATAAATTGAATTTCGATATGCATGGTTTTGATATCCGTCGAGAATATCTTCTACGTAACTTGTATTCGTTCTTGAAAAACCTGGAAATTATACCTGCATGGATGTTTGCCAACAGCAGCTTTCTGTGATCATCTTGTGGAGAAAACTGATCTTCTAGTTGATCATGTAGCCTCACCTTCACTTTCGGATACACTTTCAGAATTCAAAACAAGCAAAAGAAAGTTAAACACAAAATTAAGATCATGAATACAAGAAAAAATTGAACACACACTTGAAAAAAAAAAAGAGTAAATTCCGAGTTCGAGTTTTCTCACTCTGTTGTTTCGTTTGTGATTCGAAATCCGGAAACAAAGATTGCTTCAAAATTATCGGTATTGGAAAATATTGAAAGTTGATAAGAATTATAGAAGGTTTGCTGAAAAAGCAAAAGACACAAAAAGGCAAAAGGGAAGAAATTTAATTTGTAATTTGTCGTCTGTTTTCAAATTTGAATGGATTTGGTTCTTGTACATCTGTTTTGTGTTGAACTTTGAAGGCATGAAGCATAAAAAACGATTCAAATTATAAGTGCAAGTTGTTGGAGTCAGAGAGAAGTAAGAAGGAAGTACTCCCATCTCATAAACTGAATAATATGCAATCTCCATTTCTTGACTTGAAAACCAAGTTGAATTGATTCTTTTTATGAGTGCACATGTGGGTTAGTGGGCATATTGTCTAATCTTTTTTTCCTCAAACATTGTGGATCTTGATTGAATTACATGAAACTGGAACACTAAGGTGGTAGTTTGTCAAACTTATCAGGAGTAGTGATGTAGTAAAGTTATATCTTGATGCGTGAGACGTTTGAAACAATATCACTTTGGTATCCCCATTAAATCAAAAGCTATGAAGTTTGAGGGTTTAGGTTGCTAAAACAAGGTCAAAATCCATTTTATTTTAATAAGCTCATGGTTGTTTTACTTTTCCAATTCACTTATGGGACTCTGTAAAATAATTAGAATATTGTTATGTGGACCAAATTTATTTATTACGTTGATGATCATCTTTCTAATACAAGTAGATCTCACATATATAAGTGGGATTTACTTCTATTAATGTGGTCAGCAAACTTTTTACATTATCTATAGCATGATGTCATAATTTTGCAATAATTTGTAGATCAACATTGTTAGAAAATTAAGCTAGGTTAATGAAACACAATGATTAGTTTCCAATCTCATACCAAATTCGGTATAGGTTTCGGGATACTGCACAAGTGCTACTTGGACAACAGATTATGTTTAAAATGGCCATCTAAAAAATGTTGAGCCATTCTCAATTAAATTTTTGTTGCAACGGGTCATCTACAACTAATTTTGATCGATTTTTGTGTCTTAAAAGTTGCACACGATTTTTTCACTGCAACAAAAATTGATGAGAAATGTTAAGGAAACTCTCTCAAAATGAGATTCTCTTAGGATTTCTCAAAATTGATAGAGATGACAATGTGACTCAATTTTGTGTGTTTAGGTGCCAAATTCCAACAAGTGTGTAATTGTTCCTACATTATAAAAGTTATATTTATCGCACTTTGTTGGTCACCTAGCCTACGGGCACGATCTCGTTGAAAAAATCGGGTCGACGCAATCGTCTCACAGGTTGCCATCTTTCTTTTCATTCAGTATTTCATCCAATATAGTTTGACTTTGGGGTGGAGTATTTTGTCATTCTATTGTACCCTACTGTTATCATACAGCATCATACTTTTTTGTGCCCTTATTATATATTAAAAGTTTGAAATACAAAATGAGAATTTTAAAGTGCTAATAACAATTTTTATTATGTAATACTAATTATTAACTTTTTTTTTTTAACAAATGATAGTATCTACACTAAGACCAACTCCAATGGTGGGCTAAAAGCCAAATTACCCCCCAAAATTTCCCCCCAAAGGCACTCCAACCCAAGGGGAAATTTGAGCTAAATGCTAAATGCTAAACCAATGCCAAATTCCCCCCGAAATTTAGCCCAGAAATCGGGGTGGACTCTAGCCAATATTTATCGGAATTTAAATTTTTTTAGATTAAAATGTACATAAAATTAATTTACGATAGTCTACATATTTATTTTTTTTTTAAAAATTAATTTAACAAAAAAAATAGCCTAAATTCATTCTTTAATAATCCCGGGCTAAAATTTTAGGGTAGAATGATTGGAGTAGAAAAGCTGTTTTTGGGCTAAAAGCTAAATTTTTCGGGCTAAAAAATTTGACTTTTAGCCCAACCATTGGAGATGGTCTAAGACCATCTTCAATCCTTGGGCTAAAACCTAAAATTTTTAGGCCAAAAAATTTAGGTTTCTAAAAATTTTAGGCTTTAGTTTAGAAATAGCTTTGCTACTCAAACCCTTCTGACCCAAATTTTTTAGCCTAAGAGTATTAAAGAATAAATTTAGGCAAATTTTTTATTTTAAAGTAATTTAAAAAAAAATTATGTACACTATCATAATTTAATTTTATCACCATTTTTACCTAAAAATATTTAAATTCCGATAAATATTGAAAAATCACTAAATTTAGGTGAATTTTGAGTTAAATAATTTTTTTAATTATTTTAGCCGTTGGATTTAAATTTGGACCTTTAGATCTTTCTTTTTTGCCGTTAAATTTGACTATATTCGATCTCAGTCATTGAATTCAATAAATCCTAGAAGACATGCCCATGTGGGTGGGTGTCCTGCTGGTGGTGCCCACACCATTTCCTGGGCTAAATCTTAGGGGAAATTTGGTTTTTAGCTTTTAGCTCACACATTTAGCATGAGTTGAGTTGGGTTTGGGGGGAATAAAACCTAAAAATAGCATTTAGCCCAGGGTTGGGTTTGGTCTAAAGGGGTGGGGAAATGAGCTAAGCCTTATAATGGGCTTGCCATAATAATGCGGTTCAACCTCATCTCTAGCGAGAATCGAACCTTAGACCTCTCACTTACAAATGAAAAAGAATACCACTAGACTGTAGTACTAAGTGGCATTAACTCTAAGCCTAACTTCTATTTCATTTAATTTGCAACTCAAAGTCTTTAACTTCTATTTGATTTAGATTGTAACCCTAACTTTTATCTTTAATACTTGATGCATGGTACTTACCAAATGTGTGTGAAATAATGAAGAATGATGAATCTTGGTTGTAGGTTATAGGTATGTTAGATTATTTCAAAAGTTAAAGATGAGACTGAGGCCTAGTTTGGTACTGAGGTGACTCTGAAAAAAGCTGGTATCAAAAAAAGCTGGGAGCTATTTTTGCGTTTGGTAAACATTCAGCTTCAGCTTTTTTTTTCACATTTTTGGGTGAAAAAAAGTCAAAAACAAGAAGTTGCAAAACCCAGCTTTGAAAAACTAGCTTTTTTTCATATCTGTTTTACATAAAAGTTTACTAAACACTATAATACTGCATTTTTTTTTTCAAAAGCACTTTTACAAAAAAAGTTTATCAAACACTCTGCTGCTTTATTTCACAGCTGCTTATTTTCACAAAACAGCAGGAACAGCTTTTTTTCAAAGCACAGTAATACTAAACTAGCCATGAGTTTCATCTTAATATGTGGGCTACTTACTTAACAAAAAAATAAAACAAAAAACTTTTTGGGCCCAAATAAAAAATAGCCCAATACCAAATTGGTACAACGCTTACGATACAATATTACTATGTCAATCGAATTTTATGGCATGCCGTATGCCAATTGAATTTTATAGCATACTAAAATTTGGTATACCAAAATAATGGTACTATATATTGTATACCAAAAGTTTGAATGATAACTGGTATCAGAATTTGGTATGGTAATTGTACTAAACCCACCCTAAATTCAAGCACTATTTAAAGAGTCATTTGGATGTGCTTTTGAAAGAACCAAAATCACTTCCAAATGAGTAAGACATTTCAGTTTAACAAAATGGATATTTGACAAATATTTCTTATAAAACTGCTACTATGAAGTGCTATGAACAAAGAACACTAGTGAGTAAAAGCATTTTATACTTAGCACATTCAAACCAACTCTAAACAGTTTTTTTTTAACTACATTGATATTTTTACACTTAGGGCAATGGGGAGTTTTGCTAAGCCACATAATGAGCAACCTAATTTGATATCAAATTCGTCATCCACGAGATTCGAATCTAAGATATTTCATTTACAAATGAAAAAGAATACCACCAAACTGTAGTATCGAGTGATAAATCAACCCTAACAGTTGAATGAGGAATTTCACCCTAAAACTATGGATGTAAGGTAATACTGACTTTTCAAATTCAAAAGCATCTCTAGGCAAATAACAAAAGCAACTTGAAGTCAATAGCAAAAGCGAGCAACGACATGTCGTTGGCACAAGTAAAATCGTCGATCACATTAACCACGACGCCTCTCAGTCTGCCAGACCGGACGCTACATCTAACTCTATCTCTGTCCCTCTATCTCCAATGGCGGCCCAAGCTCGAAAAGGCGGAATCTCCCTCCCGAACGGCGGAACCCTAAGAAGGAAGACGACGGCGTGATCGCGAAGCTCGCGCAGTCCGAAATTGTCATTCGGGGAAAGCAAGCCGCAAACGACGCCGCATTTATCACGAAGAGGCTCATGAAGAGCACCGGCAAGGCCGCCTGGATCGCCGGTACCTCGTTCCTCATACTGGTGGTGCCGTTGATCATCGCCATGGACCGCGAGCAGCAGCTCAACGAGCTCGAGCTCCAGCAGGCCAACATCCTGGGGGCTGCGCCGCCCCAGAAGTAAGTCGAGCCGGGTCCGGTTCGGGTTGGGGCTAAGACATCGGTACCATCCCCCTTCTCTTTACACCATTCTGTATCGTTAGGGTTCGAGATTGGTGAATCCTTTTTGGGAGAGGGGTTTTCTGTGATGATTGCGTAATTTCCTAGGGTTTAAGTGAAATTCGATTTGGGATTACAATAATTTGTAGTTCTGGTGTTTTGATTTTGAGATAATGATAGTAGATTGAATTACTGAAACTTCCGGCGGTTTGTATGAATCGTATTTGAGAATTAAAAGTTTTAGAGCTGGATTTGTTTTCAGGATTAGTAAATTTTGTGCTGCTTGATTTAGTGTTCAGGTGGTGATAACAATGATATATGAAGTGGATTTACATGGGCATGTGTTCTGCTTTGTTTAATTTATGGCTTTTTTCAAAGAATTTCGATGTGCAATGAGTTGGGAAACTCAGTGAAGTTCGGTTTTAATGCTTGCGGAGTTTAAGAGTTTTCTTCAACTTATGTTGTTCCCTGAGCAATGAGCATTATGCCTAAAGATCACGATTTTTGTTTCGTGTTCTGGTGTAAACTTTCATATGGCAAGCATCTTGGTGAGGTGGTGCTTCTTGTTCTAACAGTGTTTCAGTGATGGAATTTTCGGTGGAGATGTGTAGGATAGGGGACGAGGCTTAATTAGTATTTACCAGCTTTCTCGCTTTATGTAGAGATGTTTTCGGACTGCGATTTTAGGTTATTTGATGGTATGAGACTCAAGGAAACTCAACATTAAATTGGCTCCATTAAGGGGTGTTTGTTGGCCTTGGCACGGTCAACAAATCTAGGGTGTCTTTCACAGTACAATACAGATAAGTGATTATCCTTTTCTAGCATCTAGAACTTTGTTTTACTGTGGTTCTGAACTGTACGATGCGTGATCTGAGCATATGTATTTTCACCAAATCCTTTCTGGAATTGGTCGATGGGTGATTCGTTTAACTTGATTCAAGTACATGGTATGGTAAATGCCGGTTATTCGTACATAATTAGTCGGTGAATGGTTTGGCTGAGCTTATTGGTCATCACTCTATTAGAATGTTCAGTGTAGTGCACGGACTTTTAATTTAGATATTCCTTTATATCTGCCTACTTGGTTGTGAAAATTGGGGTTAGTTGTCTGCGTTTGTATCTTTCATAAACTGATGCACACCATCTCCTTCTCTAACTTTCCAGAAGACTGAGTGCTTATAATGTAGAAAGATTGTCGTCGTGGGGAGTTGGTTAAGGTCTAAGGCAATCCCCTTTTGTAGGCACCACTTGACATTTTCAGAAGGTTGTGTCATTGTGTATGTAGAATTCCCTCCTTTAGTCATAACCGTTGCGGTATGTGTTTTAACCCTTATACGAGTCCATTGGTGATATGTTGGCTATTTGCTCAGATTTTATTGTACACGCCTCTTCTTTTTTCATTTCAAACCCTTGATCGATGGTTGGCGTGCGTATTTGTTGTAGCTGGCGACGCTTGCCATTTTGAATGATGATATGATGATGGTTGTCATAAGAAGTGATCGGTTAGCGTACGCGTTATAGGTAGTTTTGATTTTCCAGTTTGGAAAAGAATGATATGTGGTGAGATATGGTGTGGTAGTGGTATAAAGATTGTGAATTTATAACTTGGACCAACGACATTCAGTTTTACTGGTTGTATAGCTTTATCTTTATGCCTGCCCACTCATTGGTATGATAGAGCTGGAACTTAATGGCTAGAGTGTAGTAGAACTATGTCCTAAGGACTCATTTGGTATAGGGGATTGGATTGGAATGGATAACACGCTAAATTCTAGGTATTTTGAAGGTAGAGAAGAATGATATTTCATTTTAAGGGATTAGAGGAGGATTAGTGTTGGAGCGGAAATATCGTCCTCCAATTCTCCGGCAAGTAATTGTGTAACCATGTTGAGAAGCGTGCATGACACCATCTCCGCTTGCCATCAAAGAGGGAGGAGGGGGACTTGCAAGTTGTCTACAAATTTTTTATTTCTTCTTTCAACATACTTTAAAAATGGCTACATCAATTTCAATTCAGTCATCCATATCAAATGAATCCTTAAGTGTTCTACGTTTGGGAATACATCAACGATTTATTGATAATTATTTTTTCAATCAGATGTTCTAGTGTAGAAGTTCTCTTGTCAGAGGTCGGTTGCGGTTGAAACTATGGAAGTAGTTATTCGTATAAGTGATGAGTGGAGTGCACGAAGTTGAAGAAGCTGATGAGTGGAGTGCACGAAGTTGAATAAGTGCTGGCCCGGCCGGCGTGAGAGGCTCTCGCAAGTCGCAAATAATTCAATATTATAAGAAAAACGTTGGTTGAGATTGAAAATCTCAAATGGCTCTACGCAATGTTGTTGGATACTAAAGACAATGACTCTGGCGATATTCTAAGTAAATTCAACACTTGTATATGTGTTACTCGCTTCAGATAACTGTTACAATAGCATTATAGTCGTGTGAATGTTCTTTAGGTGATACAATCCATAATTTGATTCAATTAGTCGATTTGGATCACATCGGGGTAAAATTTTCACGGTGTATGGTGCTTTAGTCATTTCTTTGGATCATAACTTCCAAGAGTTACTCATATGCTAATCAATATTTATCATAGTCAAATTTAAGTTTTAACATATAAAGTTCGATCTGTTAAGAACATTCATTCTCACGTACTGTAGGATCTTGATTACTCACTTATAGCTATGATCCCAACAAGGAGACGAGAAGGTAAAAGGGCTATATATGGCCCATTTCATTACTTGGTTAAGAAGTCTAAACTATCTTTTGTGATTTGTGCTATTAACTCAATTATCTACATGATTTATGAAGTAACAAACGTCCAATCACAAATTGCCAGCGAAGCATGCAAGCTAAAATTACTTTTCTGCCATAAACATGGAAACAGGATCCTATCCGGATTCTTTTTGTGAGCATCTTAGATATCAATGTAATTCATTTAGTTGTTCATCAGTCATCATGCGATCAGAAATCATTTTAAATTTTTTATTTAAAATTAAACACAAATAATACCTAATGAAAATTAACCATACGATGTACAATAAATTCTTACGATGAATTGATCTCTAAAATTCTCACAAGGAATATCGGAAGAGGATCCTTCATCCATGAAAATGTTGGCTCTCACAATCAGCATTAATGCATAAAAGCTACAGCTAACTGGAAAATAAAGAAAAAGGGCACGTAGCACACTAGCACTTGTTATATTATGTGGGTCCCAAGTCTTGCATGATGATAAGGCGGCTAAGTAGGGATTGGAGAATGGAGATATAAAGATCATTTGGAGATTAATTAAAGCCAGATTAACATTTAAGCAAAACCTATAGAGTTATTAGTGAAAGCTGGGCACACCCCCTAATCATGCCCATTGTGTTTTAGTATGCTTGATTAAGGAAATGGAACTACTATTAGTATTCCAAAAATTTCATTTTACACTCCTCACAAGTGTATTTTTCTTACTAATTATAGAAATATTGGAGTGCTAAATGAGATTTTTGGAGTGCTAATAACAATTCCTTAAGGAAATTGAACAACAAATGCTTCCCACATCCCCATTCAAGATTTTTCTACAATTCTAAAAAATTTAACTTTCTGCCATCTCACAGTTTAATGTATTTTCGTGTCAACATTATAACATTGTGCAAAAAACATGAGAAGACAAAAAGTTAATGGAGAGTCCTACTTTTGAGTTAGCATTTCTTGTTTCTCTTTTACATACTACTCAGAGTTTTGTATGTGAGTGTAAACTTTCTTTTTGAGTGTTGTAATAAAGGTTTTTTTAGCTAAAATGGTCCCTGAAATTGAAAATCAATATAAATGGTCCATGAGATTGTTAACCATCCATTATTTTGGTTCTTCCGTTAAAATTCTTTTACGTGTGCCAGAGTTTTTGGCCGAAAGTTTGGGCAATTTTCAAAGCTTCGTAACTCAATCGTTTTTTAACCAAATTCGACCCATAATATATTAAAATGAAGATAGAAAATTATAGAATAAAATTATACCTATTTGGAAGCCCAATGGTTGCCAAAGACAGCTAGAAAATAGCATGAAAGGTGACTGGTCAGCGGGAAAACTGGAAAACTCACAAGAAACTGGGTAAAGTTTAAACGTTCATAACTTCTTCAATACTCAACAAAATTGAGTGATTCAAAAATGAAAATTCTACTTCTCGACGAGACAAAGAGAATGGTACCTTTCTCGATGGCTAAATCGTCATGGTTTGGCGGAAAAACTGCTCGAAAGTGGTTGTATTGGTCTCAAGTTAGCCACTTTCGAGCCCTTTTTGGGCCAAACCACGACAAATTAGCCGTCGAGAAAGGTACCATTCTCTTTGTATTATTCAGAAGTATGATTTTTGTTTTTGAATCACTCAATTTCGTTGAGTATTGAAGAAGTTATGAATGTTTAAAGTTTACCCAGTTTCTAGTAAGTTTTTCAGTTTTCCAACGGACCAGTCACCTTTCAAGCTATTTTCCAGTCATCTCCAGCAACCATTGGGCTTCCAAATAGGTATAATCTTGTTCTACAATTTCTTGTCTTCATTTTGGTATATTATGGGTCAAATTGGGTTAAGAAATGATTGAGTTATAGAACTTTGAAAATTGTCCAAACTTTTGGCTAAGAACTCCGGGACACTTAACGGAGTTTTTAACGGAATGACCAAAATAATGGATGGTGAACAATTTCAGGGACCATTTCTTTTGATTTTCAATCTCAGAAACCAAAGTGATGTGTTATGCAAATCTCAATATCAATTTTGGCTAAAAAGCCTTAATAAATTTACTCTTAAATGCTTTGTGATTTGTAAGTAAAGGGTCAATCAATGTTCGCTTTCAAATGTCATTAAGCATTAAGAGGCAAATGGCCAAAATAGAAAAGGAAGCAAGTGGATCCAGGCCAACTTCTTTATCACAATAATTGAAGCAGAAGCAAGTGAATATTCAAACAAAATAAGGGAGAGTGAAATCGAAAGCTAAAAAGTATACCTTCATGGAAGCAACAAAAATGATTTGAGGATCCATATATATATATACGTCTGCCCATTTTTACATAAAACAAAATTTCCAACATATGTCGGCAGAGTTGATGAACCCTAAAACTCAAAGGCCACCCATGTCTTACCCTCAGTAATTTGCAGTAAATAATTACACGCCTTTGTTAATTGTTTGTTATTGATTTTCTCTTTACGACAATCGGAAATTGAGAGAGTGCGTGACAAGTAAAAATGGTGTGTGGATAGCACTACCCTAATATTAAAATACTTGTCTTAATTGAAAAGCACTAATTCAATCTTCAATAGTAATCTCCATGCTTCCCACCATGTTTCTTCTTCATGAGTTGCTTAACAAACATCAAACAAACAACTAGAAACCCAAAAGCTGCCAACCCTCCCACTGCAATTGCCACTGTCCTCTGTGTATGGTGCCTAGACCCTGCAAGTTCATACACCAATTAAGCACGTCATTCGTTTTAAAACACTTTTATTCGTAAGCATTTTTAACTGACCCTAAATGTCAAAAAAAAAAAAAAAAAAAAAAAAGAAAAAGAAAAAGAAGTGGAAAGTGATGGCGTTACTCACAACAGAAGGAAACTTCAGAAACAAGTCTAAAACACCAGACAACCGTCTCTCTCTGTCTCGCTCTCATCCATCGTCATACCGATGCATTATCATCCCAACAGAAATTAAATAATTCAAAGAAATCCCACATCAAATTTTGACTTGCATCACCCAAAAAATTAAATTAAGAAAAACCCCACCTATAAAATCAAAGTGCGTCCGGCCAAAGACAACTTGGAATTCAATACTCGAACATATAAATCAAAGGTCCTAAAGTATAACCCTTGTCAGAGAATGACAAAGAAAAATTCAAAGGACACTGATTTTCAATTTTTCACACCTGCTTTTACTTCCGGCATTTATTTGTTTGTTTTCGTCTTTTTAATTTGTTCAATTCGATGGCTAGAAGAAAATAAAAAACACATGGCAAAAAATAAGTAGTGCGGAAATCATTTCTCAAAATTTATACTTCAAAGAAAAGAAAAAGATTTTTTTTGGTCTCAGACTTTACCTGATGAAGACGCTATGCTTGTCACACCATTGGGGTAAAAGTTGTAGCTGATATAGCACTTCTGAAGATAAATCTGCCCAGAAAATGAACCGTTGCAGTCACTTTTAGCCCTCTGATCAGCAATTTTCACACAATCCCCACAATCCCCACTTCCCAAATTCCCCTCACACTGCCCCAAAATATACACAGACTGATAAGTCCCAGTATAAAACCCAGCACTCCCATTTTTCACCCCATTTTCCACCATCCCAAAAGCCTTGTCCCTCTTGTCTGCAAACCCAGCACTCACCCCGACTTGCCTGATTTTTCCTACAAATTTTAAACAAAAACTGTGTCCCTGGAACCTGTTGAAACCCAGCAACCTCATACCTCAGGTAACACCCACCCAGCTGAACTCTGGCTGCTACTACCTCCCCACATAGTTTATTGGCCAAAGCTGGAATATTTTTGACGCAGAGGTTGCAATCGGATGTGCTGAGGTCTCCCCTGCATTGGTACGTCCCCACGATTGCGGTTTGGCCGTCGCCAAAGGTGCTGGAAAAGTAAGTCTTTTGCGACGATTGGGAGACCAGAGAATCGAACAAAGATTTGAGGTTTTTTTTGTAAGTTCCATTTGGATCTTGGAAGTTTTGGTTTGCACAGCCTTTGTAGATCAAGTTTGTGAGATCAGCAGAAATGGTGGAAAATGGAAAGGAGGCGAGGAGGGTGAAGAAAAACAGAGCAGAGAAAATGGAAGGAGAGGGATTGGAAGTGGGAAAAACCATTTTTGGGATGTGGGGTTTGAAATTTGATCACACCTTGGAAGGTTTAAGAAGGGGTTTGGAGTTTTTTGGAGGGGAGCTTTCGGCGATTTCTGGAGAATTGGGTTTAGTTGAAAACAAGTAAGGAGCTTGGTTTTTTTTGCTATAAAGAGTCCCCCTGGATGTGTTTTTCGTTGGGTTTTTGGACTTTTCGGGCCGGCTGTGTGTTGTGTAGCCTTGCTAGCTTTTGTTACTCTTGGAAAACAAAAGTTATATATGCTCCTTTGAACAATATTTTTTTTTAATTTCTAAATAACGAAAGAGTAGGGAGACTAGCTATTCGGCGAGAGTAGAGTTCAAAGTGTTGCGTACCTTATTTTTGACCGAAGTTCGATATCTCGTTAGTACTCATAGAGTAAGAGTAAACTTATTTAGGCATGCTTTTCGTGTTTTTTTACCGGTTTTAACCATGTTCAGACCTCTCGTAAGTATAAAAGACGTCTTGTCATGAACTTCATTTGGTTAAGACGGTAACCTTAGCTCTTAATAATTCCTTGCTCATGCAGATTGTCTCTTCTCGTCCCTCTTATATGCTTAAAACTATATCCAACGTTTTAGTGGGTATTTGTGTCTTTCTCTTTTAGTTGTGAGTCACTTGCCAAATAGTTTGATTTGGTTCCATAATTGTGCTAGTAGTTAACAAGAGACAGTGTTACTAGCACTATAATATAATAATATTTTTTTATTTGTATGTCTCAAGTTTTATTAGATGATGTACGGATGACGATTTCGATAACTAATTATCAAGCATGATGCAATTTATGACTAAAGAAAGTTCAGATTTTTAAACCTATCTAAACTATTTGATTGAGTTATAAACTTCTAAGCATTGACCTTCATCTCAACCTTCCTTCAAATTTATATATTTTTCCTTTTCTTGTTATGTCCGCCATGGTAAGTTATACTTTCTCTTTTAAAATCCCAACTTACCATTTTGCTCTTCATCGGTCGAAAAATAAAATTTTCCATCTTGGACTTTTTCCGAAATAAAGTTGACCCTAAAGAAAAAAAAAAAAACACATCAGATCACATGGTTCTCACGTGCGATCCCTTCTCCCAAAACCTATATATAAGCACGACTTGAAGAAAGACGAGGTGTTCAAGTAGAACCCCAAAAGCTCGTGGTTGAAAACTAACCCAACACAAGAAACCAAGAAGCACAAACTTACCACTCTCTCTACTTTCTCCTCTCAAATTTTACATCAAGTTCAACAAGTCGCTAGAGGTACTGGTTTCCGAGCATACTGTGTTACTATTTGTCAATGAAGATTTGATTGTTGATTATCAGAAGCAGTTTTTTTTTTTTTTCAAATTACATTGGCAGCAATTGAACCCTAGTCTTAATCTTAACTCAATACCTTGTTCTCTCTCGCTGCTTGGGCTAACCCTAATGGCTTTGGTCGGAACAAGTTTCTGAGTAAGTTATATGTTTGGATATGATTTGATCATTTAGACTAGGGATTTTATATCCTTTTGTGTTTGTGCCCCATGAATTCTTTGAATTTTTTTCTTTTCTTCCAATGATTGATGTTTGTTTTTGGTACTAGAACCCGAATGTTGTTGTTTGTTAATGGTAACTTCTTGGTGAAGATGTTGACGTTTACTTGATTTTTTTGCCCTCTAGTTGCAGAACCTGTTGGTTTTTTTTTTGTTTTTGGTGGCTTGACTTCTTCCCTTCAATCCAAGATACAAAATATGGTATGACAACTCTCAATTGCTTCTGTATTTATCTAGAAGTTGAAAGATTTAGTAACTTTGGACTCTCAAGTGTTGATTGATATTTGGCGAAACCCTAAATTTCCTGTTAATATGTTATGTTTTGTTGTTTGATGGCCTGTTATTTCACAGAAATATAGCTGTAATGCTCAAGGACAACCCTATTTAGTCATCTCCTTGGATCCGGATGAGTCTTCTTCCGATGAAGATATCGATGAGAAATCTGATAATGGGTTCCTACAACTACAGGAGGCAAATAACATCTGCCTTGCAGCTTACAGAGAGGTTATGACATTGGCTATCAACGCAAAAGCTTGGAAGATGGGCCTTCCACCACTCGGTTCAATCGAGGATATACAACAAATGTTCAAGACTCCGCCTTCACCCGGAATGAAAGTAGAATCCTCCGTTGAGCGCGTCATTCTTCCTCTTTCTCCTAGGTTTTTGATAACTACTATGATTGACGTGGTGAGATTTTCTTGAGCCTGTCATGTCATTAAAGTCCTATTTGAGATTGCTTCTAAAAAGGCTTAAAACGCTTTCTTCTAAGTTTGGCAAGAAAACTTAAATGTGCTTCTAGGTCATAGAAGCACTTTCTGATGTTAGGCACAAAAGCACTTATGAGAAGTAGTCCCAAACGGGAACTAATAATCCTAAGTACAAAATCTTTGGTCCCTTTTTCATCACCTCCATTAATCCATACGTGTGTGTGTGTGTGTGTATATATATATGTTGCTTATGTTGTTAGCCCCTCTTTTTTTTCAGGACAAATGGGCTTCAACCTTTTCCCACATTGTTCATCGAGGATGTGTACAAGAACCAACTGGTGTTGTTGGACGTCTATCGGCAATGCACAGAGGACAAGAATCTGGCAACCATATCGATATGACAATTGTAATTATCCCGTTCCCTCGACCAAAAACATGCCTATTCCTTCCATATCGGTTGAATGTGCTAATCTAATGCAAGAATTTAAATTATGCAGGTCAATGCTGAATTTCACTTGCCTACACCATTTGTGCAAAAACAAAAATACCGTTTTGTCAGATTTGTACGGAGCAGTCATGGAAGATACATGGGCTGTAGTTGATCTATCAACTGATTATTTTCAGCAGCATTCACTTGATTCTGCTGCATCGAAAGTGAACTGTCTTCGGAGGCCATCTGGGGTCATTGTCAAGCGCCTCAGGACGTATGAAAATTTATCCGAGGTTAGCACTAAATCAACTGCAACAAGATCTCAATCTAATTATTTTTCCACATATGTAAGGTGATATATAAGAGGATAGGGGTTATGACAATTTCTCTGTGTTCATGCAATGCAGGTTATATGGATTGAAAATATGGAAGTGAAAGATTGCAAAGTTGATGATGATGTGGACGACGATGATATGCAGTCAGGAACAATGAATTCAAACCTAGCATTTGACGCAAAGCACTGGGTTAATATTTTGTCATCAAATCACAGAAGAAGATGTGCCAACCCTAAAATTTCATATATATCTGATCAAGGTAATAGAGTTTTCTTAATCTCAGGTTTAATGTCTAAGCATGGCATTACTATTTGGCCACAAATGCAATTTTGTGTGTTATTTTTAGAATTTGAAATGCAATTTTGGTTCTTATGAATTATTTTCTTCTTATCTTTCAGCAGTGGCTCAAGGGGAGAAGAATGAACTGTCAATAGAAACCTTAATAAAAATTGACTGATTTTGGAATGAAGCTGTTCATATATTCTGCAGTGAAAGTGCATGATACATGGCTGGTTTGATGCGAGGTTCCGACCAAAACGCAGACTGGAATGAACCGTACCCAGCCCTAGTTGTGGATTTTCATCCTAATTAAACCCTAATTTTTACATCATGATTTGAATTTAATTGTAGGGAAACTTTCCCGTTTGTGGTTTTAAAGTTTTGAAGCTACAGTGGTGGTAGAACAAATATAGCTTCTCAAGCAATAGTCGCTTCCTAGTTGCTTTGCAAGAGTGATCACTAAACTATAGACCCTTATAATTGTTGTTTTCTTTTGTTGGAGTTATTGTTATGCCTGATCAAGGTTTTAAAAAGCGCTAGGCGCTAGTTGGGCGGTGAGTAAGAGTCTAGCGCCAATGGACTTAGGTGGGTCCTATGCGGGTTTTTAAATTTTAATTAAGTTAAATTATAACAAAAAATAAAAACATACAAATAAGTAGCTACAATATATTGAATACATAAAATGACACGTGTATTTAGAGTTACTTTACAAGAAAGAAAGTCTATAATTATCGTCCAACCCTTAACCTAAAAAAGTAAAAAATAAAACAATTGAACCGCCTAGAGCCCACCTAAACCACCTAATTGCCACTTAGAGGCTTCACCGATTTTCTAAACGCCTAAGCCTCAATTGAGGTGCCGGCTTTCACTTAGCGCCTAGGCCACTTTTTAGAACAGTGTGCCTAATAAAATGATATTTTCTAAAGTACTACAATTTGAATAAAATGAGATTCAAACTCGACTGCAAAGAGGGCAATAACACAACCTTGATTTGTTGATAAAATGAACATATTTTCAATTAGAAAAACGGACTGACATATATTTCCTTTAATTGCATTTCTTAATGTAATGAAGGTGGAAAATTGCATTATAAATTGGGGATCACAGTTAACTTAAAAGATTAAAACGACTATATAGCACACAAATTTAGTGGCCATTTAAAAAAGACTTTATACGTTCTTTTGCACCTCTTCGTAAAAATGCAAATGAAATTGTAATCATACTAATGCAATCATCGACAAAAGCCCCATTTAGAAAGGTATTCTTTCTAATAGGGATAAAATATTTGATTTAGTTACCAATTAATTAAAAGTTTTACTTCTTGTTATGTGTGAATCAACCATCTAAGAAAGAGTTGCAACAACTTGTGTTTTGAATTTTACCAAAGCTAAGTCACTAAATAAATTCTCAATTAAATATCTCAGACGTTAGCGTACTCGCCCCCAGGACATGACAAGTGTTCTCACAGTTACACATCCGTTGAGAGCAACCCAAGTAATAGGGAGGGTAAAACGGATCAAATTTGTAAAACCCTAATTCTAAACACACTCACACTCTCACTCCTCCCAATTTCTTCAAAAAATGCTGGTAAGCTCGCTACCCATATTTCAAATTTTTGTTTTTCGAAAACAATTTCGGTCCTCGGACCTCTCCGTTTACCAATTTTGCGTTTTTTTTTTGGGGTTTTTCGAAATGTTTTTCCGCTTCTTTACAGTGCGTTTGGGAAACGTTTTCAAGTTCTGGATTCTTGGTTTTCATTTCCATGAATTCCTGGGTACATTGGTTTGGGGTTGTTTTTGTTTTAGGTTTTGAGAATATATTCTGGAAATTTTGTTTGGTTACTGAGAAAATGTAGGTGAAAGAAAATATCTTGTGGTTTCTTACTCTTGTTTTTGGGTTGTTTTCAGGTGTTGGTAGCCTGAATCAAGCTCCAAAGAGGTTTTCTTGGTAAGCTTGTTGTTAGTGCTTTTTTTGCATGCATGTAGATTTTGTTGGTTCAAGTTTTGTTTTTGGGAGCTCTCTCTCTCTCTCTCTCTTCCCTGTGTGTGAGAGAGAGGAGGATAGAGGATAAAGGAGAGAGGAGAGAGAGGTTTCTGTGTTCATATAATATATCTGAACTAATGTTAGTCGTTTGGAACTTCTGATTGATGTATATTTATGATTCGGTTTCATATCGTCTTGCTTTGATTATTTTCTAGTATAGACATGCTATTATTTTTGAAATCTGAAAAGGGGCTGTTTAGTTTATGCTGGGCAGGCTGGGAAGTAAAAATGAAATTTGCATATATGCAACTAGGAAATTATCAGTTAAATCTGTTATCTTTCGTTAGGATTTTAACAACTGTTGTTTGTGTAGCTTTAAGGATATTGGAACATCCAACTGTTGAGTGATATGGTGAAACCTCTGATACTCTTACATCGATTGTATTTTAGTTACAAGGGTGAAGGGTTTGATGGTGCTAGCCTTTTGATTGTGTAATGAACTTGCATATCTGTTTCTTTCAACTCCTATTTGGGCATTTTTCTCAGAAATGTTGGAAAATGTAGGTACATTTTGCATTGGGCAGCTTGTCGAAATAAGTGTGAGCGGATAGTGATGGCGCCAAATCCAAGGGTGAATGCAGCCTTTAAAGCAATGGCAGAGCTTGGTATTAATGAAAAACAGGTCAAACCAGTTTTGAAAAATCTCTTGAGATTATTTGACAAAAACTGGGAACTGATTGAAGAAGAGAATTATAGAGTTCTTGTAGATGCTATATTTGATGCGGAGGATACTCAGGTGTATTTCTTTCCCTTTTGTCAGGCATTCTGTATTCCACTTCCATTCTCTCTCTCTCTCTCTCTCTCTCTCTCCTTACTTATGTCTGTTTGATTTTGATTTATTCTGCTAGGGGGTGGAAGAGAAGAAGGAGAAGAAGAAAAGCAAGAACTATGATGTATGTAATTGAAGATACCTGGTTCTGTCACTTTATTCTTGTTTTTCTCATCCTTGTGGCTATAGTTTCTGACATATCTATGATTACAATCCTGACATATTATGGTCTGTTACCTATCAGGAGGAAGATATGGAAGAAGAGCCTCAGCTGCGTCGTGAACCAGCTCGTCCCTCGAAAAGGATACATTCAAGTGGTGATGAGGGTTCATCACAGAAGAAGAAATCTACAAATACTGATGTATGTACACTTGGCTCCCTTGCTTGTGTCTCACATTCTCACCCGTTTACCTGTATCTGCTAACTTGCCTTGTGGTCTATTATCTAGCCGGAGGATAATATTGGGGAAGAATTGCCACTGCCTCATCAACCTGAACGTCCCCTGAAAAGGTTGCGAAAAACCCATGGGGGTCAACTTTCACCATCCCCAAGTACCTGCAACCCTATGTTGGGTGGGCCTTTATTGATAAGGCCAAAAGTGGAGAAAGATGAGTTACTTACACGGTCACCTGACTCAAGGGCTGAATTGCATCAACCAGTTTCACCCCACCTTAGTAACAAAAATAAGGGCAAGCAACCTGTTGCGTCTAATCCCGTGCCACAGCATGGAAAGCGAATTACTGAGTCAGGCATCGTTCTTTTGCCGAAACATAGGGTTGACAATCATCAATTAATGAAGCCTAAAGATGAGCCCTTCACTGATGACATGGCACAAGATGAGGTTCCTATAGCAGTCATCCTTCCAGGTACTTTGTTCACCTTATAGTATGCCATCATTGATATCTCACCTGATGGATAGTTGGAACCAGGAACGAAAATAAACTACTCTAACCATGAATTAAATATATCTGATTGCCAATTTAACATAAAAAATAATACATAGTAGAACAAACTTTTTGGGTATTATAACACCGGCATAAAACTTCAATAATCTTCTTGTACAATATTTTTTGTTTTGTTCTTTTGCAGATCCCTCGAGTAAAGAAAAACCTCCACTCCAAAATGGTGCAACTGGGGAACAAAATGATCAAGAACCTGTGGCATCCCAGGAGAGAGAAAGTACAAGAAATGATATTGTATCTTCATCTAATGAGAGGAATACGAACTTTGAACTTGCAACCTTAGAAGAGGAATCTTCTAATTTAGAAGTTGCGTCTTCACCCTTAGGAGAGGTAAAGCTTTCATTCATTGCAATTCAGCTATTAGACGACCAGATTTTCATATGCCTAATCTAGATGCCGTCATAAAATTGACGGAGGAAAAATATCTGCATTCATACAAAATCATTGACCCCTACTTTTCTCTAAAGAATATGTTGGGGCTTATGTGTGAGGGCTTCTTGGAACTGGGAACTAATTCCAATGGTGAATCGCAGGATGGATCTATAAGTGCATCACCAAATCTTGATGCATTGAAAAAAACTACTGCTTGGGATTCTGTGCATGGAACTAAGGAAACATTATGCATGCAGCCATGTTCTTTAAATGGGCCTGTTGGTATTGAATGCCCTACTGCTGTTACTGCTCCTGAAATTCCCAGACTACCCTTGTCTCTGAATGGTGTTGGTGAATGCAGACAAGCAGGTGAGAGGGCTGATTCTAATGGTTTTGCTGAGGTTGATAAGGAAGGTGAACTGGAAGACTCTCGTGGTCTGGTTGTTGTACAGCATTGTGATCTACCTCCTGATGATTTAAGGAGTTATCATGACATTGATGACATAACCAAAGGGGAAGAAAGAGTCAAAATACCATGGCTAAATGAAAAAAACAATGAATATCCACCATCCTTCTTCTATATCTCCCGAAGCCTTGTTTTCCAAGATGCTGCTATTAACCTCCGTCTTTCTGGTATTGGGGATGCAAATTGCTGCCCAACTTGCTTTGGTGATTGCCTATCGGCGTCTGTACCTTGTGCTTGTGCATCTCAGACTGAGGGGGATTTTGCTTACACGCAAGAAGGCCTTCTAAGGGATGATTTCCTGGAAGAGTGTATCTCTATGATTCGCAACCCTCAACAGCACCGTCCTTTCTATTGTAAAAGCTGCCCACTTGAAAGAGTTAAGAATGATGATTGTTTAGAACCATGCAAGGGCCACTTAAGGAGGCAATTTATTAAAGAATGCTGGAGTAAGTGTGGCTGCCATAGACAGTGTGGAAATCGAGTGGTCCAGAGAGGCTTAAATTGCAAATTGCAGGTTGGAATCTGTTCAAAGCGATCTTTTTGTTTAATGTTAGTTGATGGAGTGGGGTACTTGTTTTTCTTACTGATGTAAATCTTGTGGATAAATTGTTCATGAGTATTAGTAGTTATATTCTCAAAGATAAATGTCAATACAAAATTTTCTTGTATAAGACTTTTTGTTGGAAGACTTTGTTTGATTTGTGCTGTATTCCAGGTGTTTTTCACTTCTGAAGGAAAAGGATGGGGTCTCCGAACCTTGGAGGACCTGCCAAAAGGTGCCTTTGTGTGTGAGTATGTTGGAGAAGTTTTAACCAGCAAAGAGTTACATGAGAGGAACATTAAAAGCTCCAGAAGTGGCAAACGTCCCTATCCAGTGCGACTGGATGCAAATTGGGCTTCCAAAGCAGATTTGAGGGATAAAGAAGCTCTCTGTTTGGATGCTACAAACTATGGAAATGTTGCTAGGTTTATTAATCACAGGTAATGGCACTTCATTGTTTGTCTGTACTCTCAGTTTAGTCATGTCTTCCATTCATATGATACGTTATGCTCCTTTTACTAAGATATTTACTACTGTGGTGTCTATTTTGCATATTATGCTAGATGTCTGGATGCAAACTTGGTTGAAATCCCAGTTGAAGTGGAGAGCCCAGATCATTGCTACTATCATGTATGGAACCTTTGATCCTTCATTTGTGTAGTTATAGCCATCTACTTTGTTGATGATTTCAGACATAATTCTTCAAGGTACCAAGTATAAATATTGTTATGTCGTCTTGTGCAGCTTGCCTTTTTCACAACAAGAAAAGTAGATGCCTTGGAAGAGCTAACCTGGGTAACAAATTTTATCTTTTAAGTTGTAGCATAATTTGAACGAATTTTTTATGGATCATTTTAAACACTTGGATTAATCATCAATTGAAGAGTTTTATTTATTTATTATTATTTTTTTTAATCATGTGGCAAGTTAAAATGCTGAGAATCTTTGGAGGCTTAGGAAGCTTATTTCTAGGTTTAGTCTTGTATTTATTCAGCGAAGTCTTACTACGATCTTTTGTCAACATAAGCCCACTGTAATTCCATTTTAATCAAATGTTTTCATTTTAATTTCACCAAATTGATGAGTTGTATAAGTATTTTTCTGATTTTAGTTTCATAACTAATTTTGGTAATGGTGCTCGATTGGTTATGGGAATATGTACGTACAATGCTATATCTACAAGTGATCTTCATTACTACTTTTTAGTTCAATTGACTGCTCTAGTTCTTAGAAGTTGTACGGTTAATTGATTTTCGGCAGAACTGTTTATCTATTGACTGTGAAAGGCCTCATTCTCAATAAATTAAAAATGCATAAACGCGAACGGTTGATTGATATGGTTTAGTTAAACATGCCTGATGTGCGAGTACCTACTTCGAACCTACCACCGCACAACAGATAGATATATCTGAATATGGTATGCTGACTTGCGCTTATCCCGAACACAACACTTAACTTCATCCTTTAAAAATGTTCAAGCACAAAGTGATACCTTAATTCATGCTGATCAATTTCCTACTTAGACTGCATTATGTGATGTTATTGTATAATTTTGGTGACAGGGCTCTGGATATGGATATAATATGTATACATGACTCTTTGGATTTATGTGCCCCTCTTAACTGCACTATTTGGGATGTTTTTGCAGGATTATGGGATTGACTTCGACGACCATGATCATCCTGTGAAGGTGTTCCAGTGCCAATGTGGCAGCAAATTCTGCAGGAACATGAAACGTTCAAATAGTAAGTGTATTTTCCATTTGTGTCCCGTGCACCAATATTTGCACATCCCTTGTTTGTTGGTGACGATCATTTTCTTGCCTGGCTTATCTGTGTACATGTTTGATGTGTATTAGTCCGAGTTGAAAGCGTCATCTGGTTTATTAGTCATTGGGGCACTCTTTGATTGTTCTTCTAATCACATGTTGCTTCTGATGCTAACCTTCATTTTCACTTCTACATGCAACAGGATCTAGATCTGGATCAATTGCAAGGTGAACACCGGGAATGTTCGTTAAGTACTTTGTGTCAGGGATCAGCGTGTTGATGGTTGTTGTCTTTGTTCGAACATAAAGGATAGGTGCAAGATCAAGCCGAGGATAGATCTTTTGGATGTTTTTTTGTACAGGGTTTTATACAGATATGGGCAATTTGGTGCCTTTATTCCATTGATGATTTGATGGTACATTTTGGGTCAGACGCTGCCTGCGCGCTGTGTTTGCAGAGGCTAGTGATACTGCTTAAATAACCGTAGTTCTATATGGCTGCTTATTCGGCGATGCTATATAATGCGTTTTTCTTGGTTCTGTTTTGCTTTGCTTTGTGTGAATACAAAATACACATCTGAACAGACTTGTATAGCTTAAGAAACATAGAGGGCCGTCGCACTTCTGTCTAGAAGTGACAGCGAATCCCTGTTTTGAGGTCTCAGGAGGACTTCATACTCGGACCCGGCAGGCATGACGGGTTGAATGCTGCCGGGATTTAGCGGAAAAAGGGTTTTGTAGTACCCTTCCATATTAGCTGTAAAATTGCAAGTTTTCGCAACCTCTGGATTCTGTAGAAAAACACCAATCTCTCTTCAGTACCTGATAAATCTCATGCATATATGCATGAAGGTTGGGATACTCGAGCAGCTTCTTCTTCGTGCATCTGAACAACACATTGTAGAAGAGATCGAATTGGGTTAACGTGGTGAACAAGCAAACATCTGCATGTGTGAGTTCATCTCCACACAAGTATCTCCAACAGCTTAAATGATCTTCGATCGTGTCCATTGTGTCGAAAAACTCGTTCACCACTGTATAGTATGCTTTTTGAGACTGAGCAAACCCACATCTGCAAAATGGGCAGAAAATATAGGAGCAAAATTGGAATTATTGCTTAACGAAAAAGGATACAATCACAAATAAAACCGGTTTCGAACTTCTAATAAAAAATAAAACTTAACCACACTAAACCTCTTATGACCGGTTCAATTCGTGCATATTCCCCAACTCAAGATTGAAATTAAATGCAGACGTTAGTTAAGTGAATTCGTTAGATTAGAGGTTAGAGGAGTTTATAATATCGTATCGTGGAAACAACAAAGAATTAGAGGATTAATTAGTAACTATTGCCTATAAACTCCAATGTTGACATTGCGGTAGATTATGCTATTCCACTTCTTAATCTACAAATCTTAAATGTAAACAGGAAGCACTACGTGTACAAAGGTACAATATATAATACATACAAGTATACATGTAATTACATGTGATGATATGAATCTCACATGATATCGTATACTTGTTTAGTTTTATGGAGTTTTTAACGCTTGTTTCAAGTGTATATCTTTCAATTGAAGCACGCAATACTTGTACTGCAGGTCACCCTTGTTCAGACTTGAACGAAATTCAGATTCAATTTCGAGGAGATTTTTCGACAATGAGGTAATTTTCTGTTTTATCTCTTCCTAGTGATAATATTTGCCAAGATGTGTAATTGTCCCGAGAAAATAATTCTGTTACAGTAAAAAATTCACGCACATTTTGTTTTGCAGATGCTGTGACTGTGCTAATGATATGAAGGAGCGCAATGACTGTAAGTATATTAAATTACACGAACAGTCCTCCCCTCCCCTTTTCTGTTTAAACTTAATGCTTACAAGGAAGTTTTAGAATTAACTCGTAACTTAATTCCAGGTGAACTTGCCGAGAGAAGTTGGTACCTTTACATTTTTCATGTATACGGCTCTCATGTAGCCTGAAGTCGCCCATGTAGCTTGAACTGTTCTGAAACATTTGGTAAGTCATTTATTGCTCCATGCAAATCTGAATAACTGCTCCTTCGTTAGCCATTTATTGCTCTTTATATGAAGTGTTAGACAAATTAAGTTGAAGGAGGCTTAGATTTTATGGAATTACATATATATGTAAGTCGAAATCTAATAAATCGTCCGAAGTTGGAACAAAAGAAAGTCTGAAAGTACAGTAGTGTAGGTATACTTTGTTCAGATATATGCTTCGTAATCACAGTTGTGCTTAATTATTTTTTTTCTTAATCGTATTGGTATCGAAGATCTACACGACACAATTTTGGGTGATCTTTGTGGGGCCTTTTATGATCAACCATGTGATGAAAACGCTGTATGAAGTTCACTGAAATTGACTAATCAGTTTACTATACATTGTTCTTGTAGGTATGGTCGGTGGAAAACTTTAGGCACAAGAGTCGACCTCATTCCACTTATATGCTTCTAGGAAAGTTCGTCATCAAGCTTCCTTTGATTGAAACAGAAGCAAAAAAACAAGAGATAAGAACAATCAACTTTTTTCAAAAGTGCTTTTCTCCCTTCGACTGACACAGCACCTGACGCAAGTTATCAATTCCTTCTCAACTCTGGGACCTATATGACCTAGAATAGTATCAAAGAAAAGTTTAATTGACTGTTGATTGTAACGTTTATCTGCGTCGACCAATGACAATGTGACATGTCCTTGGTGATGCCTGCTAGTGGAAATTGTTCCTTGAAAGTTTATCCGCGTCGACCAGTGACAATGTGACATGTCGATGATGATGCTTGCTAGTGGAATTGTTACTTGAAAGCTTAATCTGTGGCTCTGCCTGTTTTTTAGTTACACCATTCTTGCTGCTGCTTTTTGCTTTCACCCATACGATCTCTCTCTATATAACAGCACAGTCAAAGCTTGAGGAGGAACCACAAATCAGTTTCTAGCATCTCTGGCTGTTGGAAAATCCAGTGTTCGAAGTCATTGAAGAGAATCGCAAGCGCCGGGTCTGAGGTCAAGCTTGTTGGCACTCAAAGAAGTACATCGTCGATGGGTTGTTGCCGCGGTTCATATCTTTTGAGGCAGTTGTTTTGGAAGTTGAAGTCACAATGGAAACAATGTTTGGGACGGAAAAAGTGCTACAACCGGTTCAGCTATGATCTTCAGAGCTACTCTCTGAACTTCGACGACGGTTTTGATGGCCATCACTCATAGTTTCCGTCCTCTCAAAGGAGTAAATTTTACAGAAACCATTTGAATATTGGACACTTTTGTCCTCTTAAGATATGTAGATATATTTTCGATTTACTCGAGTTTATATATTCATGCGACTTAGATTTGCTATGAGAGTTGGCAAATAATAGCATGATTTTTGTTTCATTTTCGACCAATTTTGCTTCCATGCAGCGAAATTAATGTTGAGAAATGATTTTCGTACAGTATAAAAATTGCTATTTCCGTTTTTTTATGAGTGGGGCAAATAGTATTCGTGTTGCCAACATCTTCTACTTTTGATTGTCAAAAAGATAAAGTGGGATTCCACAAAGATGATTTTTGGGGTCCATTGTTCATTGCCATGACCCTTTTGTCTCGGATTCCGATATTGGCACCATTAAAACTCTTTCGGAAGCAAAACTTGTTATAGAATCATTGTTACTTTATTTTTTAGCACAATCTTTTATAATGTTGACATGAGAATTGACATTAAATTGCGGGATGACAAAGAGTCCCTAGAGAGTTACAATTGTAAGAGTGTCTCCTTAGCATTTCTCTTATTTGTTTATCTACATTTTGTTTTGCTAAATGTCTATCTATCAAAACTCCATGCCTTTAGCATCCGTTGATTTTATAGATGTCGAGTAACTAAGGGTGAGACATTAGGCCATCTCCAACCGACTTGAGGGTTAGGGCAAAGGGCTCATGGGCCCCACGAGACAAAAAAGGGCCAAAGGGCCAACCGGCTAGTCTAAGTCAACTAGCCAGCCACCTCCAGGCCGGGCCACAAATTCAAATGCAACGGCTAACTGACATCAACTAGCTGTTATATTTGAATTTTTTTTTTACAATTTTTTTTTTCAAATTCTATTTTTTTCCTATAACTTCCTAAGCCATTAAATAACATTAAGTAATATGAAACAATATTAAATAACATTAAACAACATAAAAAAAAACATTTAACAACATGAAACTTAAACAACATTTTTAAAAACATTTAACAACATAAAACTTAAGTGCCTACTCCATGCTTCTTTTGGCCCAAAGATGTGCAACAAAATCCTGTTGTATGTACTTGTTTGTGGCACGGGAACGTATCATCCTATAGCTTCATGTACTCATTTAAAGAGATACTACCACCTCTTGGATTCAAAGGCAAATTAGGCCCATAATTTTTTTTTTTTTGGCCAAATTTTTTAAAAGAAACATTAAAAAATTCTCATTTTTTCCTATAAATTTAAGTTGTTGTAATTTTTAAATTTAACTTGTAATTTTTAAATTTAGCCTATAGTTTTTAAATTTAAGTTATTGTAATTTTTAAATTTAAGTTAGTGTAGTTTTTAAATTTAAATAATAATTTATGTTTGGCCCTATGGCCCTCGGTTGGAGATGGTTTTCTATCACATGGCTATGGTTGGCCTATAATCCTCTGGCCCCTCAGTTGGAGATGGTAAGAAGTATGACCCTGCACTGTTCATTAAAATATTAATTTCTTGGAGGGCTATATGGCTCAAATGAGCCATCTGGCCCTCTTTCGGTTGGAAATGGCCTCTCCAATTGATCTGGCTAGAGGGCCGAAGATAGCCCGAAATGACATGAAAACCATCTCCAATTGAGGGCTAGGCCAAAGGGCTTGTGGGCCCCATCGGGCCAAAAAAGAACAAACAGGCCAGCTGTGACATCCCACATCGCCCAAGGGTGTGATCCTTATATGTTTATTCCCATCTCTACCTAGCACGAGGTCTTTTGGGTGCTCACTGGCTTCGGGTTTCGTAGGAACTCCGAAGTTAAGCGAGAAGGGGGCTAGAGCAATCCCATGATGGGTGACTCACTGAGAAGTTGCTCGTGAGTTCCCAAAAAGAAAACTGTGAGGGAATGGTAAGCCCAAAGCAGACAATATCGTGCTACAGTGGTGGAGCGGGCTCAGGAAGTGATCCGCCTCGGGCCGGAATGTGACAATTTGGTATCAGAACTTAACCCTGGTCGTGGTGTGCTGACGAGGACGTAGGGCCCCTAAGAGGGGGTGGATTGTGACATCCCACATTGCCCAGAGATGTGATCCTTAAATGTATATTCTCATTCCTACTTAACACGAGGCATTTTGGGAGCTCACTGGCTTCGGGTTCCGTATGAACTCCGAAGTTAAGCGAGAAGGGGGTTAGAGCAATCCCATGATGGGTGATCCACTGGGAAGTTGCTCGTGAGTTCCCAAAAATAAAATCGTGAGGGAATGGTAAGCTCAAAGCGGACAATATCGTGCTACGGTGGTGGAGTGAGCCTGGGAAGTGGTCCCTCCCGGGTTGGGATGTGACACCAGCCGGCCGGCCCAAAAGAGCCAGGCAACTAGCCACGGGCTAGCCTAAATATTTGAACCAACGACTACCTGGCGTCAGCTAGCAACGGCTAGCTGATGTCATGTTGATGTTAGGTGACCGTTGGATTTGAAATTTTTTTTTTTTAAAAAGTTCCCCCTTTTTTTTTTTCTTCCTATAAATACCTATTTCTCACATAATTTTCACTCTTCCATACTATCTTACTTCATTTCATTTCAATTCTTCACATTCCATTTTCTTACCTCTTCCAATAATCTTTCCTTCAAAATTTTCAATAATTTTCAAATGATCACATTTGCATTGAAAGGTAGGGCTTGGACCCGAAAAGAAGATGAAACTCTTTGCAAGGCTTAGGCCATCTCCAACTGAGGGCTGGCTAGATGGCTCGTTTTAGCCCTCTAACCCTCAAAGATATTAATATTTTAATGAACAGTACATGACAATATTTGCCTCCATCTCCAATCGAGGGCCAAAGGGTCATAGGGCTCGTTCTAGCCCTATCACAAAAAACCGTCTCTAACCGAGGGCCAAAGAGCTAAACATAATTTATTATTTAAAACCTACAACTAAAATTCAAATCCAACGGCTAAGTGACGTCATCATGTAGGTTAATGTTATTTAAAGTTGTTTAATGTTTTTTTTTTCATGTTACTTAATTTAATTTAATATTGTATAATGGCTTAGGAAGTTATAGGGAAAAAATAGAATTAAAAAAAAAATATGAAACAAATTTTGTAAAATAGAAGTTATAGAAAAAAATAGAATTTAAAAATAGAAGTTATAGGAAAAAAATTTTGTAATAAAAAAAAATCCAAAATAACCGCTAGCTGACGTCAGCTAGCCGTTGCATTTGAAAATTTGGCCTAGCATTCTTGTCGGATATAACCGACAGGAATATTCATATTCCTATCGGTTATATCCGACATGAATGCTCACATTTTTGGCCAGCCTGGGGCTAATTGGCTGGCTGGATTAGGCTAGCCTTTTGGCCTTTTCAGATTCCGTGCGGCCCACGAGCCCTCTGGCCTAGCTTTCGGTTGGAGACGGTTTTTGGGCGTTTTTCGGTCCTCTGGCGCTCTGGACCCTTTGGGAATGAGAGTTCTCAAACAAGTGAAGGTGTTCTGATTTGTACGTCAAATTATAAGTTCTACGAAGGCATCATTCCACTGAATAGCCGAAACAACGAGAGTTTTTTTTCAAGATGGAAGAAACATCTTCATCCAAGTTTGAATAAATGGCATCAATCACTGTTAAAGGCCACAAGTAGACATGAAAGCGGTGTCAATTACTACGACGAAGTAAATGTTTTCACAATTTATTTTAAATATTTAATTATATTACATTTAATTTCATAAACTAATTTCCTTTAATTTTTGTAATTATATTTTCTAGGTACGCCAAGCAGAGGAATTGTTTTTGCAGGACAACTCAAAACTCTTTAATCATCACGGTCGTTCGGAAATTTGTAAAGGGTGAGTGTTATTTGAAGATCCACCTAAACAAAGAGTAGGTCCTACGCCAGTGTTCGGAAATGCATCCTCAACTGCAAATGGGGATAAAGATGGATCTCTTCCCATTCAAGAAATAAGGGTAGAAAATTCGTCTCTAGGTGAAGGTTCCATAGCTAGGGCTATGAGATGAAACAAGGCCTGAAAATTGAAGCAAAAAGGGAAAGCAAAGGATGATTACGCCTTTCAAGAGGAAATAGCAGCCTCTTTGCGATTAATGGCGGAGCAAAATGCCATTGCCGTGGAAGAAAGGAACCGTAGACATGAAGAACATGCCAAACAAATACAAGAAGAGATGGATGATATGAATATGCAAAGGAACAATTCGGATTACACTCCAATGAGTAAGGCCTATTTTGATAGGAAAAAGAGGGATATTATGGCCCGATGGGAGTTGGTTACCTTGGACTATGATCCTACAATGGCGGATGATGATGATGATGATTATAAACTTTAAATTCAAGTTGTTGTAGTTTTTATATTAAAATAATAAATTATGTTTGACCCTATGGTCCTTTGGTCCCCTCGGTTGGAGATGGTTTTTTGTCACGGGGCTATGTTTAGCCTATGACCCTTTGGCCTCTCGGTTGAAGATGGTAAGAAATATGACCTGACATTGTTCATTAAAATATTAATTTCTTGGAGGGCTATAGGGCTAAAACGAGCCCTCTGACCCTTCTTTGGTTGGAGATGGCCTCAGCATTTGATCAAAATCTCAAAGCGACCTTGGGAGAGATTCTACCATACTACCAGAAGTCATGTCACGCATGATTAGTAAGATACTCATATAAAAATATATCAATGAGAACTGAGCCATTGGATGTTTTGTTCTCCTTTTATATGGTCCCAAATTTGTAACTTTACCTTGGAGTTCATGAACTATGAGCCTCCTAACAAAGCCCAGATATCAGTTAATCGATGGCGGAGATTCGTTGATCGAACTAGAACCATGACGGGCATGCGCGAAATAGTAATTTAGCCAAATTACTCGAGTACTATTTATTTATTTTTATTATCCAAGTGGTATTATACTATTATGGGAGCTAGAAATTAAATTCGGGAGTTCACATCCAGCTATAAATATTTTAACCAATTGAATTACAAATTTCTCGGCAAATTAGTAGATCACTGGGAACAAATTACATGAGTTGTGAAGCATAAATTTGCCTTTTTGTCCAGTTGTCTATTACGCGCATTCATAAATCCACAAATCATTTCAAACGTAATTGATTACGCCATGTGATCTTGGAGTGAAAGGCCATGACAAATTGACAGCCAATGTCCCACACCCCATCCCATCCCACCCTAAATCATGCGCCCTTAATTCTTCACTTACCCTCCTCCCTATCTATGCCCATCCATTCTTTCTCCATTTCCAACCCCTTGTCATCACACTGAAATGGCAAAACTCGTAGGATTTCTGGTTTTCTTCACAGCCTTGGTGGTTGCAGCAGCAGATTGGAACATTTTGAAAACCCAAAAAACCAGTAATGTTGAATTGGGAGATGAGTTGAAGAAGTACTGTGAGAGTTGGAGGATCAATGTTGAAGTGAACAACATTAGAGGGTTTGAGGTTGTACCCCAAGAATGTGTTTGGTACGTTAACAAATACATGACATCGTCTCAGTACAAGGCTGACTCGCAGAAGGCCTTGGAGGAGGTCACTCTCTACTTGAGCAGCTGCTGCAAACTGGAGGGTGATGGCAAAGATGCTTGGATTTTTGATGTTGATGACACGCTTCTCTCCACCATTCCTTACTTTAAGAAACACGGGTTCGGGTAAGTCATGTTTTAACAACTATTGTTCTGAGATTTGAACTCTGAGAACTCTTTTAACGAAGTGGAGACTGAATGTCGCTGACGTGCTTTTGTTTTTCGGAAAACTAACTAGGGGAGAGAAGCCGAATGGGACTTGTTTGGAGGCATGGATGAGAGAAGGCAAGGCACCAGCTCTTGAGCACACACTGAAGCTCTTCCATGAGATCAAAGATAGAGGGATCAAGATCTTTTTAATCTCTTCAAGAAGGGAAAATTTAAGATCATCAAGTGTGGATAATCTCATTAGGGTTGGATACCATGGATGGACTGGTCTTATATTAAGGTATGGGATATCATCAAGGTTTCAAATCCAAAATTTTCTTAGTTTTTTTTTTTATACTTATAGTGGTTTTCAATGGTGCAAAAGATCAATTCCAAAAGAGAAAAAAAAGGATGAATCGATAAGCACTTTTGCTCATCAGCGTTTATGTCAAAAGTGCATTTGTTATAAACAAGTAGAAGTATGTAAAAGTGTTTCTGAAAAAGCACATAGCAAATACTTATGTAAAAAATGTTTTACAACCCAAAAGTGCTTTTACACCAAACATACTTAGAGGCATTTTTTGTTGTCAAAAAAACATTTTGGAACTTTAAGAAATAGTGCCTGACTTGAAAAGAAAGATTTGATTTCAATTTTCATATACTTAATTATGTGCAATGAAGGGGTCTTGAAGATGAGTTCAAGGAAGTGCAGAAATACAAGTCTGATGCCAGGCGTAGACTGATTGATGAAGGTTACCGCATTTGGGGAATTATTGGAGACCAGTGGAGCAGTTTTGAGGGGCATCCCATGGCAAAAAGGACATTCAAATTACCCAATTCCATGTACTATGTCTAGCATGAGAAATTTCAGCCCACAGATGCAGACCTAAACAAGCACTCCTAAGTCATTTCCGAGCACCATTTTCTCGCTCTAGAAACTTCTCTTACGTGCTTTCTTTTGAATTGCTTTTGATTTATTCAATCCGAAAAGTCAAAAAAAAGAAAAAAAAAACGATGAAAGAGAAAAATGATGTGCGGAACCATTTCTTTATTGGCCAAAGCATATGCTTCTCTGTCCTATTCATAAAAGACTAGTAATTTCAACGAAATCTGTCACCCTACACAAGTAGTTCTCCGGTATTTGTGGCTTGAGTGCTTAAGAACAATTGGAAATCTACGTTCGAATCCTCCTCTCTCAATACTATTTGAATGGAAAATAAAGGCATATTCTTCCTTTGGGAATCATTGTTAATTTATTCTGCAACTACGTGTGTTGGGTTTCATTATTATTTGCATATGGTTTAGTATTCTAGTAGACAAAATGTTAGGTTTTTTCTCATGCGTCTTGGGTTCGAAACTTCCTCTCCTCTAAATTATGGTAATAGTTACTCCGTCATCAGCACTAAATTATTGTAATAGTTTCGAACTCTTTTCCCCTCCTCGTCATAATAATAAATTTAAAAAAAAGTGTGCTAAAGTTCTCCTTTTTATTCCCAAAACAAAATAAGTTTTCCTTTGTGCTAATTATAGCATTATGGTATTATTACTTGTTGGAAATGGACTCATGCTAGCTTAATTCAGGTATACGTAGTTCGGTGGTTGTATACAAACACTTCTAATTCTTCAACAAATTTGTTTCCAAAACGGTAAATAAAACAAAAACAAAGAGAAAAGCATGGATATTCTCATTAACAACTTTGGAATATATTTATTTAGAGTAAAAATTAACGGAATAAATTTTATTTTCCTTGGATCTTAGCTATAGTTTACTACGTGATTGTTATTAGAATACGATGCTTAAATTAATTGCTTACACATATCCACGTATCCACTCAAAATTCCAAGTACCAAGTTTGGGTCCGATGAACAAAGACATATGAAGTGGGATCAAGTGAGGTTTGAGTATCTATACTTTTATAAGAGGTGTTTTATAAATATCAGACATAGTTGGACATTGATATTCAATTTTTTTCTTGAGTGAAGCACCCTGAATACAAAAGCACAATAATCGTCTGTATATTTTGCTCAAAGTTTTATTTTGGTCTGTATGTTTGAAATTTGATCTATTTAGTCTTTGTATTTTGCCCCTCTAGCGGTCCATTTGGCGTTAGTCTGCTTTAATGTTGTAAGAGCTACATGTACACATTAATGTTTAAACTAAACATGAATACCAAATGATTATAAGGTGAAAACACATGAATCAAATAAATCAACTTGCAAATTTGAGTCAATTGGTAGCGAGCCCCTTCTCTATTACGCCCAAGTCAGAATTCTACTGTCCCCTAAATCACAGTTGATTAAAATCACTTTGTCAAATCAATCAAGTGGAGAACAAAAATAAATGAAAATCTGGAGCATGAGCAGGGTGCATTGAAGTATTTAATATAATTGCAGATGTCATTTTACAGGCCAAAAATATTTACACTTATGTATTTTAGTGTGGGTTCGATCTCATCCTTCTAACAACTAACAATTAAACCTAAACGTCATGTGTTTTTTGCCGTATTTGGGCTTTTGGGCAACTCCAAAGAACTTTCTTTTGTGTTTTTTTTTTTTTTTTTTTTTTTTTCCCAAACCTCATTACACAATATCCCTACGGTGAAAGACTTGCCCACGTGTAGCTCACCAGATATTTTCACCAATCGCAGTCCTCCCTAACGTGGGCCCCGCAAATATGCCCGTGGAGCCGTCCCTAAACGCACTACTGAGGCGCGTGGAGTAATCGTACAGTTCAGCAAAACGCAGAGAGCCCCAAAGAACCAAGGGAGAAAAAAGGGGGCACATAAACAAAGCGCACTCGCGTGACTCGTCACCGTCCACTTCCCTTTCCCTTTCGTTCTTACGCTCGCAGAGCCGGTGACTGAATTTTAAAACAACCGCCTGTTGTTTTAGACTTGTCTCCGTCATCATCCTCAAAATTCCTGTTTCGATTCGATTCTGCGTGAATTGGGGCTCGCTATCGAGGTTTAGGTGCGTATTCGATATACCTTCTGATAATTTTGGGTTTTGGGTTGGAATACGGGGACTTATTGCTCTCTGTGGATGTCCATATGGAGTTTTGATTCAGTTTTTGCGTATGTTTTTCGAAATGGTATTGTTGGGTGGAAATTGAATTGGGGTTTCGATGGATATTGTGGTTTGCTGTTCTTCAATTTTGGTGCATGTTTTGGTTTGGATAATTGGATGTATGACAATTGTATTTTGCATGGTGGGGTTGTAATGTTATAGCTGTTTTCTTTTACTTCAATGAATTGCATGGTGGGGTTGTAATCATTTGCTTTGTGATTTTGTTTTCGGGGTTTTGCGTGGAGGGGATTTGGTAGAATATAGGAATATAGTTGAAGAATGGTTCTAAGATGTAAAAAATTAAGTGTGAAGTTTCTATTCGCTAATCGGTAACTTAAGGATGTTCGTAGATTTTTGTTTGGTTGACATAAGTTGGATTATTCTCCGGCCCGGTTCAAAGTCAGACAAATGAGTGTTTAGTGCTGTCCAAATGTGAACTTTTGATTGTGTTATGTAGCATTACAACCACCTGATCAACTGCCTCTTTGAAAATGACCATTAGGTAAGCTTTTTGGATAAATTCGTTCGGATAGTAGGGTTCTTCAACTCATAGTTTTAAGGGGCTCATTTAGTCGGGGCTTGGAGTGGCATCCATTCAGCGTACTGTTATGTAATTGCACACTCGTTCCTGCGGGTTCATTTTGTGAAAACATTTTCATGGTTCAGGGAGAGTTTTTATCATCTTCATGCTAACAAATGCTTTCTTTTCGTGATGGTTGGTTTTAATCATATCTTGCATTTATTCTTATGTTCACAGGCGAAAATTGATGACCTCTTTCAGTGGATTTGCTGTGAATAACAAGCAAAAGGTGTGCTGTCAGTAAGATTTTTGGCAAGTATCATCACTATCACAAGCTAAGCTAATAGCTCATGACTAGATTACTGATGCTCCCACTTTTCTGATTTTAGGAACATAGATGGAGGCACGCCCTGCTATGTCCATCCGGACATCAGCTGCAAAGCAGCTTACTCATATGGGGGTCTCTGCAGCAATGTCTTCATCCTTACCAGTCCTTCCAACCTCTTTGGAAGAGACATATCCCAAGTTGCCAGACTCCCAACAGGTTTCCATGGAAAGAGAACTTATGTCAAGGCCTATTGGGCATGCTGGTCACTTAACCTCCAACAGTGGAGTAGTTGGTCACCTATTTTCATCATCATCAGGATTCTCAACAGATCTTCACTACTCGTCTCTTTCACCTCATGAAAAACAGTCAAAAAACTCTCCTTTCATTTCTCAGAGTTCTGCAGCTTTGCCGTTACCTCATTCTCCTCATTCAGGATTTCTTCAGTCAACAGAATCTTGTCCTTATCCCAAAGAAAACAGTGGTTCCTGGTGTACAGATTCACTGCCAGGTTTCCTTCATTTTCCTGTCAATAGCCATGTCAAGAATAGTCAAATAGAGAGCAGTAGTTGCACTGGGATAATGACTGCTGATGAATTTGTTAAGCGACATGATTGGCAGGATTGGGCAGATCAGCTAATTACTGATGATGATGCTTTAACTTCTAACTGGAATGAGCTTCTTGATGACAATAACTTAACAGATCTGGAACAAAAGGTTGAGATATTCTCATATAGTTGGTCCATGATATACATTTGCAAGTTTGATGAAAATTATCCGTCATTATTATTGAAATAGAAAAACCAATTGGGTTCTTATTATGTTGTTTCAGATGAAATACCAGGCTCCCCAACCGTCTTCAACTTTTTCGGCTGAGCAGTCCCAATTTCATCAGCAACAACCTGCTTCATCTGGGGAAATCATTCCTGCTCCATCTAGGGAAATCATTTCTGTTCCTGCTACTTCCTCAGCTAATAGTGCCTCTGCCAAGGCGCGCATGCGTTGGACACCTGAACTTCATGAGGCCTTTGTGGAGGCTGTTAACCAACTTGGTGGTAGTGAAAGTGTGTAACTCGGAATTCCTCTGGCTTTACTGAATTCTTTGCCTAAGATGCAAACTTCTAACTCAATTAAACTTTTACTTCTCACAGGAGCAACTCCTAAGGGTGTGCTAAAGCTCATGAAAGTTGAAGGCTTGACTATCTATCATGTGAAAAGTCACTTGCAGGTACACAAGCTCCTTTCACCAATAAATAGTTTCCCATAGACTCTGTGTGTGAGAGAGAGAGAGAGAGAGAATTTTCTTTTGATTGGAGATCATTTTGAATTGCAGAAATATAGGACTGCTAGATACATACCAGAGTCATCCGAAGGTATATAACTAATGCTTCCAGTAAATACATGCGTACCTGTATATGTGTATGCAACTATGCATAACAACATGATTTTCTGTTCTTTGGTGCTGGAGGTAGTGTTATGAGAAAATAATTGTGATATTTGGTGGTGTTACTCTCTTTTTTATTTTTAAAATTTTTTTAATTCTGCGTTTCTTGTTTTTGATGCTGTCAAATGAGAAATATTCCTTCTTCTTTTTATAGTCTATACCCAGCTGCGACTCGCACCATTTCAAAATTTCCACTATATATAAACTGATTTTCCAAGTCTCAGAACTTTTCCCCGAGCATTTGTGAAGGCTATGTTTTGGTGAATATTTGAATTTCTCATTATTCTTTTATGTTTTCATACTAGTTATCTAAGTATTTTTATTAGTCTATTCATTAGTACCATACATGTTCCTCAACATATCATCCTATGAGGTATTTTTGTGCTGAAATGCTTGTTTTAATCTCCTGAGTTTCATGCTCTATCCTTGAGACTTTGAAGTTGGCATGGATATGCTTACCTCATTTTTTTTTTGATACCTTATGTAATTAGTTAATGTGATGTATTACTGCACATTCTTTTGTAGGTGCCTCGGAGAAGAAATTGACTTCAATTGAAGAAATGACGTCTCTTGACTTGAAAACGTAGGTCAATTATTCTTTATACCTATTGGTCCGATGCTTGTAAAGTAGCATTAATCATGTGGTACTTGTTTTACATAATCATTGCAAGGTTGCAACATCTGATGATACACCTTGTGGTTATCCAGTTACTGCTGATAACTTACGATTTTTCCATAGATAGGGTCATTACTCTCTACTTTGTGGATTTTGAAAAAATGCTGCTTGATGTGGATAGGAAGATAACAACTCTTTCTCGGAAAAAGAAAAAAAAACATACAAGACTTTACTGGAATTTGGTTGACCCCAAAGTTTCTTACATCCTGCTGCTCTGATGGGCAGTTGGAACTCAAGTGTGCTGTTGTAGCATCAATAGCTTTGCCGCGGATGCTCCAATGTATACTAGCCAGCCATTGCTGTTTAGAGGTCTTAGGTTCACATAAACAGAATGTTTCCTTGTATTCTACTGCAACTTTAGTGTCTTTAGTGTTTATTGCTGGAGTTAACTTGAGAGTTCCAAGTTGAAGATTATTGCCATTTAAGTGCCTTCTGACCTCAGCAAGATTCATAGGGTTGTTTCTCTGTTTAACCTCATGGAGGTGGGATGATCAAATAAAACAAAAAACCTTAATAGCTTAACTTTTATCATATGGAAGATGTAAACTATTGTTTATTTTTTTTCAATTTTTGATAGGACCTACATACTGTTAACTATTTGTCTTTTTGATAGGACCTGAGGTTATGATAACATTAGCACTTGGAAGATACCTGTTAACTCGTTAACTAGTTGAATGTGATAAGCCCAGAGTGGGTTTAACAGATTGCCCAAGGGTCAAATGATTCAACCTTCTATCTATAGATTTGTTCACTATTATCTCATTGTGTATCGTGTTACCATTTTACATTTTTCTGAACCTTTCTGCTCATTTGATTTGGGTAACAGTGGTATCGAGATCACTGAAGCTCTGCGACTGCAGATGGAAGTTCAGAAGCGACTGCACGAACAGCTTGAGGTATGAATTTGTCTGTTGGAAAAGTATATTTTTTTTCCTTTTCTAATTGATCAATGGGTTGAGTTATCCTCTTAAAATCTCTTCTGAAGATTTTGTTTAACTTTACCTGTCACCACTGTGAAGTTTGTGTAACACTATTTATAGCAGTGCACTTATTTTTGGCTGTGGTCAAATTTCGAACCTCAAATTTATTTTTTTGTGTACATGCCCGGGTTCTATTCATCTGATTTTTCTTATGTTGGTTTAATCTTCTTCGGTTTCTCTTTTGCAATTTTCTGTGTAACATATGCAACTTTCCTCTTTGTGCAGATTCAAAGAAATCTGCAGTTACGAATAGAAGAACAAGGGAAGTATCTTCAAATGATGTTTGAGAAGCAATGCAAGTCGGGTATTGACACGCTGAAGCCATCATCATCCAATTTGGACGACCCCTCCCCTCAGCCTTCAGATGCAATGCAAGTTTGTCCAGACAAAAGTGAACTGGATTCCTCCAAGTTGGACCAGGGCGAGACTGAAACTGATCTGGTTAAAGCCAACTCCGCATCATCAGGTGGTTCACAGGAACCAGAAGGGAAGCAGAAGTCGCCTGAAGCGGAAGCTCTTTCTGAGAATCCGGAGCCAGATGGTGGTGTCTCCAGTCCCCAACCTCCAAAGCGTGCCAAAATCAAAGAATAGGTCACATATCATCGTTAAATCTCCATTAGACCTTTTGAAAGAGCTTCTGTGATTTTACGATGGGCACTGAAATATTGTGAATGCAGTTTTTTTTTTAGTAGTTGATAATTTGTAGCTAATTATTAGCCAAGTTTTGATACTAATTATTCTCAAAACTTCAATCGCAACTTCTAAATTTGCTGTTAATAACAATAATTTCTTATGCAGACAAATTTCCGAGCCTTTAGAAAAGTGTTTTTTTTTTTTCCAAAAATTTCTGAATAATATTTACTGTAGGTGCCCATTTTTGAAGAAGAAAACTCCGCGACTCAATTGCTGTTATACTCGACTATCATTTCACTACAATGAAGTTATTGTGATGGCACTCTAACCCGGCAGAGTCCCATCATAGTTTGCATAAAAAACATAAAAACCTAGAACTTGGTTAGCTTGATGAGTTTTAAGAGGGGGTGTGTACGAGCATTTTTTGTTGTCTATAAATGAAAAATGTTTTGAGTTGAAGCATTTTCCATACGAAGAAAAAAAGCAGAAACCAAACATTTTCTCCTCAAAAAACACTACAGACTCAAACATACGACTTCACAACCCACAGTAGGTACACGACGGACTCTCATACTTTCTCTTTACACCCCAACGTTTCATTATAATACCCCTCCTTCCCTCCTCTCCCTCTCACCATCTTTGGCATCCCAAACATCTCCACTGTCATGGCCTCGAACACCATGGCCGCCAGCTTGTTCACTGGTTCTCAGACCAGAGTTGTGCATGGCACTCAAGAGGTATGGATAACGTATAGGTTTTTTTATATCCTTTTTCTTATACTGCAACTTTCGTCCATGAGATTTGACCTCACTCTTGTACTGCCACTAAGACCATATGGTCGGTCCTTGACAATGTATAGCTTAATTAAAATGTTGATGACTTGTTACAATTAGTATTAGGTTAAGTAGTTAAGTAAGGCAATGTGGAAACTGGTAGCACTACCTGCCTCCGAGAAGGCAGTCAGTGTCTCCAACAAGTGTCTAGTGTAAGAGAACGATAGGTTTCATATTTCAAAAGTGACTGATATTGGTGAGTTTGTTTTTGCTGGAAAATGGAGATCGTGAAAGGCAATGGCATCACAAGATCAAACTTTCTCCGATGGAGGAAGTGGTAAGGATACTAATTCAATTCGTTTCATATTATTACAGGGAAAAGGAACTCGTTTCTTTTTAGGAATTACATGTATTAATTTATTTCTCTTTGGTTTCTATAGTTGGCGGTAACGACTTCGAAGGCGATAAAAATGTTTTGAGTAATGCAGAGTGGAAAGAAAGAGCGTACAAATGTAAATTCAGGCAAGAAAAAAGCGATTTGGTGAGAAAAGACGGTGGAAATGATGATCAACGCTTGGAAGATGATTTGCTGTAAGTTGGTTTTGAGCTTAATCTTTTTTTTTTTCTTCTCAAATGATGAAGCAATGTCACACTTTATTCAAATCTGGACTTTTCGCAGTTTTGTTGAATCCCAGGAACCATTGTGGCGAAATGTACCCAACTCATCAAGCAAACTCATCCCGTACTGCTTAGTCATTGTCCTCCGGCTTGTATTTCTAGCCTTCTTCTTCCGTTTTAGAATCCTAACTCCGGTGTATGATGGTTATCTCTTGTGGATAACATCTGTAATTTGTGAGATATGGTTTGCGTTTTCTTGGATGCTTGAACAGTTAGCCAAATGGAACCCAATTAACCGTGAAACCTACTTGGAACGCCTGTCCATAAGGTTCGAAGCGCGAGGGTGAGCCTAACACGCTGTCCTCGGTTGATGACTATGTGACGACAGTGGACACTGTCAAGAAGCCTTCACTCATTACAGCAAACAGTTCTCTCTATCTTAGCTGTTGGCTACCCTGTCGGCAAGATCTGCTGTTATGTCTCGGATGATGGTGCTTCAATGCTCCTTTTCGATGTGCTGTCAGAGACTGCCGAGTTTGTAAGAAGATGGGTGCCATTTTGCAAAAGGCATAACATTGAGCCTAGGGCCCCGGAGTTCTATTTCTCTCAGAAGATTGATTACTTGAAGGACAAGGTACATCTGAACTTCGTAAAGGAGCGCGGCGGCACGAAGGTAAGCTCAAAGATAATAGGATAAATTTGACATTAATTTATGGCTTCTTTAAATTCTGATGCAAACACTCTGAAAACAATGAAATGAGGTCTTAAGGGTATTCTTTTTCATCTTGTGTGTGAAACTGCAGGGAGAGTATGAAGAATTCCAAATGAGGATTGATGCATTGATCTCGAAGGCTCAGAAGAAACCGGAAGAAGGTTGGGTGATGCAGGGTGGAGCTCCATGGCCTGGGAACAGCACTAGCGATCATCCGGGAATGATCCAGGTTTAGCGTTAATATTATCCCCCCCCTATTCGCCTTTTCACTGAGTTTTAGGCTCTATTAGATTCTGAAAGATAAAGAGGGTAAGTCACTGTTTGCACGGTCTGCTGTGACATTTTGGTTGATTTGCAGGTTTATTTGGGAAGTGGTACTGGTGCACGAGATGTAGACTGCGGGGAGCTGCCTCGTCTTGTGTATGTCTCGCGTGAGAAACTTCCTGGCTATGAACATCAAAAGAAAGCTGGTGCGATGAATGCTTTGGTGAGCAAATGTTGATTTAATTTGTGCACTTAAGTCGAAGATAAATTCTCGCATTCAGCAGTGTTTATAACTTACAAATGTTAGTATGGGATCAACAGGTTCGAGTGTCTGCGGTGCTTACTAATGCACCTTTCATGTTGAATCTGGATTGTGACCACTACATCAACAACAGCAAGGCTGTAAGAGAAGCTATGTGCTTCCTAATGGATCCGCAGTTGGAAAAGAGCTCTGCTGTGTCCAATTTCCTCAAAGGTTCGATGGCATTGATCATCACGATAGATATGCTAAAAAAAATCTTGTCTTCTTTGAAGTAAGTTCAACTATATCTTTAACTTTGTATACTCTTAAAACGTCACTGGGCTTTGCCTAGTAGTGAGGTTGGGCAGGGTGATGGGAAGGAGTAGGTTAGGTCCAGGTTCGAAACGCTTCAATGTAACAAACAAAAAAATAGCATGCTCTCGAAAATACAGAATTCTATGCCTGTAAAACTTTAGCTCAATTTCTAGCATTAATTTTTTTTGGTTATAGATCAACATGAGAGGCCTAGATGGAATCCAAGGACCTTTATATGTTGGAACCGGATGTGTCTTCAATAGACAAGCATTATATGGATACGATCTGAGAAGCGTCTTAAGACGACATGCGACTGCTGGCCTTCCTGGTGCTTCTGTGGCTGTTGCCACGGTTCGAAGAAGTCTAAGAAGCATGGGGTAAGAAGTGTTCTCGGGGAACTTTACCCCAAGAAGAAGAAAATGATGGGAAGGAACCACGTAAGGAACAGGAAGCACACCGATGTCTGATTTTTAAGAAGTTGAAGAAGGGTTTGAATGCTATGATGAGCTGGAGAAATCATCATTCATGTCACAGAAAAATTTCGAGAAATGTTTTGGACAATCTTCATTTTTTGTGGCTTCCACTCTCTTGGAATATGGTGGGCTTCCTGAAGGGACTAACAGCCAAAAGCTCGTTAGGGAGGCCATAGATGTTATTAGCTGTGGCTATGAAGAAAAAACTGAATGGGGAAAAGAGGTGAGTACGTAGCATTATGATGAACTACTGTATATATGATGATTTAAGGTTCATAAATCCAGCGTAACTATTTGATTTGTAGGAAATATGCACAAATGAAACCGGTTATAAACTTTTAAATAAAAATAGAACTGGCCACACTAAACAGGTTATAATTAGTGGTATATAAACCACGATGCACTCTATTTGTGCGTATCTCCTTGATCCTTTTGGATATGTTAGGTCTTGATATCAAGATGACAAAATCCGAAGGTGTTGAAATGGTTGGTTTTTGCATTGCAGATTGGGTGGATTTATGGATCAGTTACAGAAGATACTCTGACTGGCTTGAAAATGCATTCTAGAGGATGGAAGTCAGTGTATTGTATGCCAGAGAGGCCTGCTTTCAAGGGATCTGCTCCTATAAATTTGTCCGATCGGTTGCACCAAGTTCTGAGGTGGGCTCTTGGCTCTGTCGAAATCTTCCTTAGCCGTCACTGCCCGTTGTGGTATGCCTATGGAGGAAAATTGAAATGGATGGAGAGGCTTGCTTACATAAACACCATTGTCTACCCTTTCACTTCAATCCCCTTGGTTGCCTACTGCACTGTGCCAGCTGTGTGTCTTTTATCTGGGAAATTCATCGTCCCCACTGTAAGTACTTTTAACTTTTGGAAGTATGCAGGAACATGACTGGTTACCAACTTTAATAAAAACTTATAACCGGAGACTGGTTTTGTACTCAATGTACGACTTCTTGTATTTTTAGTGTCCTCTCAGTCTATTTTTCGATTAAAAGTTTGTTTCGTTTAGTGTTCAATGACCTAATAATAATTTCACATCCTGTGCAGCTGAATAACTATGCTAGCATTTGGGTCATGGGTCTTTTCCTCTCCATCATTACAACCGCCATTGTAGAGCTCAGATGGAGCAATGTCAGCATCAAGGACTGGTGGCGAAACGAGCAGTTTTGTGTACTTGGCGGAGTGTCAGCACATCTTTTCTCCGTATTCCAAGGCTTCCTCAAAGTCCTGGCCGGAGTTGACACCACGTTTAGAGTGACATCAAAAGCGGCAATGGATGCCGAGTTTCGCGAACTCTACCTCTTCAAATGGACTTCTCTTCTCATACCACCAACCACCCTCATTATCTTGAACATGGTGGGAGTTGTGGCTGGAGTCTCTGGTGCCATTAAAGCTGGTTACCACTCTTGGGGTCCTTTGAGTGGCAAGCTGTTTTTCTCCTTCTGAGTCATTGTTCATCTCTACCCTTTCCTCAAGGGTTTGATGGGGAAGTTCTGCAAAAATTAGATGAATAAATATCAAAGAAATTAGATAAAAAATTTGAATGTCCGCTAACCAAAAGATAGTATAAGAAGCGAGCACGTATTATGAACCTTATGATGCGGAGCGTATGTTTATTGGTGTTAGGCCTTACTTGGGATCCTACCTAAGTGGGTTGATAGTGGGTATATTGTTATGGGCTAATACAAAAAGTATTTATGTTCTGGATTAATGTATTTGCTTGATACTTGAATATTATAATAATTAATGTTGGTGTGTTTAGGATTTATAAGGTTTGT